TTAAAAATAATTTTGCTTCTGAGGCCTTGAAATTGGTTTGTGTCTCTTTATAATTTTTTTTATTCTTTCTCAACTCTTCCTCCCAACAAGTCCCACAACAACTTTAGTTTCTGACCCACTGAAATTAAATGTGGGCTTTCAGCTCAGAGTCCATCTAACAAGCTAAATATAAGCTGAAATTCAAGCTGCATATATTCTTGCAATGATGCAGAAAGTGTTTGTGTGGAGAATACAAATAGATATAAATCTTTCTGTCTTTCAACTTGTTTCACAATAAAAAAAAAATGCTTTGCATTGCAGAACACCAGACTGATTGTGTCAGCCAAATGACAAACATGCAGCACAGATAATTTTTAAATTTCAGGCATAAAAAAAAAACCCATATATTCCAAGTATTACAGACATAATTATTCTGAAAATATTATTGTTTCTGCTGCAACAGACAGATTTTTGTGACTTCTTCTGTTACTTCTGGCAGGCAGGAAACAGAGAGACGGCGCTACAGGAGTCAGACTGCCAACTCAGAGGAAGAGTGCGAAGCTTAACACAGCATCAGCATCCTTCAATGTCAGTCTGGCAGATCTTTCAGCTTCTGTTGCACTTCAGTGCCTCTAAAAATCAGCTCTTCTTACTCACTCTGCTGCTTGGTGAAACATCTTCCTTCAGTCTCAGCTGTCAAGCCAAGCTCCCAACAAACAAGCACATTTTCTTTGTTGTAATAAACTAATTGGCAGCTGAATGCCAGTTAGTTACTGTCATACTGTCATTTACAGCTGTGTTTTCTATGGTAAAATAACTGAAGCAGATTGTACATTTTAGATTTTGCAGAAATTAAAGCATTTTCTTTTTCAAAATCAACATTTCAGATTTCAGCAGAAGTTGCAAGGCAAACCTTATCTTATCTTCAGGTAGAATTTAAAAGCACTCGAAATCTGATTTGAAAACTCTGGTTGTAAGAATTCATATTTAGCTTTACTTTAAAAAGACAGTTTGAACAGATATGAACTGATTATTTTTGCATTTTTTTCACCCAGTTCATCATAATTTATTCTGAAACAAAACAACATTGAGAATTTTCACAACAATTTGTGCAGGACGTTGAGGATTACATCTTAGGCACTTGACATCATGCACCGAATTAAAAATTACTATATCTGCAGTTATTTACTGGTGTTTTAGAAAATATTCTTTCTTTATGGTTGCTATCAATATTTTCATGAAGATGAAACCATTTTAGTCCAGCAGCAAACTAGTAAACATTACTCTGATTTCATTCAGGATAAAAATCAACAAATAACAGTTTAAAGTATAGCATGTATTCGTATTCAGCCTCTAGAAGTTAAAATTACAGTTGCAACTCTTTTGGGGGTATATTTCTACCCGCTTGTACATTTTGACACTGAAATTTCTGCAGTGTTGCCTTTGAAAGTTTTCCTGGATTAGATAGGGGACATTTGTACACATTAATTTCCGATTCTTGCCACAGATCCTCAGAAGGTTCTTCATCCAGGATTACAATTAATTTAGCTCCATTCACATTCTAATTCACTCTAAGCCCCCAATATGATGAGGCTATGCATAATGTTTAGCATGACTACCAAAGGTTCAGTTTGTCTCATCTGATCGGAGCATCTTTCTCCACATTTGCTGTCTCCTCTATATAGGTTGTGTTAAAATCTTGATGCTTTTTGGTCTTTTATTTTATAATGTTTCTCTGCTGTAAATGTTTCTGTAACATTACTCCTGTCCTGTCTGCAGAGCTCATTGGTCTTCATTATGCTTTTTGCTTACTTTTGCTCTCTACCAAACCTTTGAGGCCTTCACACAAATACTTGTGCACTATTTACCAATTAGGTGACAACAGAATTGTATTTAATGATATGAAGGGGTCTGAATGCATATTAACACCTATCATGTTTGATTTGTAAAAATATTGAAAGACATGTTAAAAGTGCACTGTCCACCTACAAACACACCTTTACAAATAAAATGTGGACCTGTCCGCAAAATCTATGAAATCTTTCATTCTTACAGGAAATCCAACTTAAGTTCAAATTGTGAATCTTATTTTTTCTCACCCAGCAGCCATGATGATGTAACCAAAACTTGTAAGAACATCAGCATTGCACAGCTGTGCAGTATATAAAGATCAACTAGGCTGATTTGACTTAATACACAAACAGGGCTTTAACGACATCTTCACTTCTTTGGTCTCCCAGGAAAGCTTTTTGTTTTGCACCTTCAGGTCCAATCCAAGCACATTTGTCATTGGCCTGTCCTACACCAAACCCAGACTTATTGACATTGAGCTGCACTCTGCAGCCTCTAGGAGATAGGCGTGTTAAAATGCATTGCGTCTTAAAAACACATCACACCGTCGGTGTCGCAGTGTAAAACAGTATTATCTCTCTTTGCTGCAGTAGCTATCCTTCACCGCCCAGTCTGAAGCCTCCCACATTCCCCACCTCCCGGCGGAGCTTACCGCGGCCCGGCGCAGACGGGGGAACCCCCACCGCATGTTGGATTCGGCCATGGCTCCCAGCGGTTTATCCCCCCTGTTCTGTCCCGACCCGGACCGGCTGTAGAGGGAAGTAGAGTCGGGAGCGAGCAGCCGCAGCGATGGCTCGGTACCTCCACTGCAGTGTCCGGGCGGGCCGAGAGGCGCGCTCAGTGCGCACCAGACGTCCTCTGCTCTGCACCGGGATGGAGGGGCGTGTTGTGCTGCACTCACCTGACGTCAAAACTATTAGCAGCTACGTTAGTATTAAAGCAAACAACGGCTCCACTGCTATTACTGCTGCGAACATAACTCTAATCTCTGCCACTCGACTGAATTCATAGAAAAACCTGCCACACACGATTGTAATTGTAAAAAGAAAATGTTTAAAAAAAAAAAAAAAAAAAAAACACTTTCCCTTTCTTTCAACACGTTTTTTTAAAACATAATTTAAGACAGACCTGGATAAAAACCTTAAAATTAAGCTAAGGTACAAATAACCTGTAACATAAAATAATTTAAAGAATTGATTGAACATTTCTAGTAGGATCCGCTAGATGGCAGTAAATGCAAGAACGTGTCACCATGTCTGCTGATAAAAACTTAGCTGAACATTAGCATGAGTTTTAGATCGGAATCATTCAAAACGCTGTTCAGCATTGATACGGGTTTGATTATTAATACTTTTTCATTAATTTTTGAGAAGGACATACTTTTCTTTCTTGGATTTTTTCCTTGAATGTAAACAATTTTTTTAAATCCCAGAGTTAATGGGAAGTGAAGCTTCTGTATGCTGGAAGTTTGAGAACAGTTTGAGGTTCTAAAATAGTAACAATGATAATAAACATTATGCTTAAAGCATGTTCATGAGATGGAATTTAATAATCTGATTAAAGTTTAAACCTTTAGATTCAAATCAGAATCTATTGATTCTCAATTGGATTTGGAAACATTTGCAGACACTGTCCATTCAATTTGATTGAGGTTCTTTTTGTTTTTTTAAGAAAAATGGTCAAAATGTCATTCTGTATTAAAAATAGTAGAGATAAACTCCAACAGACCTTTGTAGAAATGTGAGTGCACAGATCTTTGATTAATTGCAGCAGAATACAAATACACAACACACAATTTAGATTTTGTTCTAATCTAAAATTTGAAGGATATTTTAGATTAGAACAATCTAATCTAATTAAATTGTAAAATTTTAAGAAAACACTATTTGTAATGTGACATCTGTAAAATATACTTGCAAAGCGCTGCTAATGGTTCGTTTTATCTGCAAGTCCTTCATGTAATGTTTGAGATTAAGCTTCAGGGAGCTTTTTTTACTTTAGGTTTTATCTTCTGCTTAGGAAAAATGAAACAGTTTCAGCTACTGATGACATATAAATCATCGGCTCAACTTGTGCTGTGTCCCATGTTTGCCCTCGCCTCCAGTTAAGCCTTTGATGTAACACTGCAGCATTTGGTTTGTGGGGCAAACATGTTGAACCCAGAGGTTTATAGTAGCTAAATTCTAACTTCATCAGCTTTCCCTCATTTTTGAGGAAAAAAATATTTAAAATTTTGAAATTTAGTTTTTTTAAGAAATAAAACCTATTGCATTAAAATTAATATTACTGCTAATAATAATTTCCAACAGTTTAAAACTCCATCAGTAGCTTGTCATCATTCCTTTAACTGTGGTATTTTGAGGCTTGAAGGGAAACACCACAGATCCTGTCTCACCTTTGACCTTTCACTAAGACAGTGCTGAATACGGCAGCTTACTCTGATGTTTCTGTCAAGGCTCCATCATCCGTATTGTAACGTGACTGGGAGCTGCTAATCTGCTTCAGTCAGATTGACTTAACTACAGGGAAACCCCACTCTGCCCCACAGAAAACCCCACATTTTCAGACTCATTATACCTTTCATTAGGCTTCATTTAACTGCTTTTTTCAGACTTTGATCCCAAACCCAACAGTTGCATTTGAGATAGCTTTGACTATTTTTTCACCACTTACCGACGGGATCTTGTTGGACTTTATATTTCTAGCCTTCGTCTGTCTTTATTGGCAGTTCTGTAAACATTTCCATTAAGTCCTTCTATCTTATTTGTGGTTAATGCAACATGACTTCCAGCACAGGTCAGACTAAAAATAACAGCTTTAAAGGCTATTATTAAACTCTAAGTAGACATACTTTTCTGCAAACTATTTAAAGAAGTTTTAATCTGTACAACATTAAAGCACTAAAAGTGAAATGATAGGGATTTATTGCCCTATCTCAGTAAATGTGTGTTTTATAGTTTGATTTGTTGCTTCTGCAGTGAATAGCAGGCTGGATTAGCAGCCTACTATGACCATGCTATGTGGTGGCTGTTGGGTTATCTGAGTGACATTTTTAAACTCTTTGTGGCCCAAAATAAGCTGTGGGCTGATTCCTTAATTGGATTATGGAGGAGGCAACGACAGCAATGTAGCTGTTAACTCTGAAACCGAGACAGCAAGATGGTATATAAGGGGGCACCAAATGTCGCTGGCTACACTCTCAACTCGCCTTGACACACACTGACACTAAGAACCTGAGGTAAGACCTTCTTGTAGCATTAATACTCATGATTTATACTACATTTACACATGTGCAGAGATCTATGAGTGTATGTGGATACTTGAAAGACAGATGACTGTAGACAATTGCAGGTTTTAGGAATACAGACGTTATCACCCTGACAAGTTTGGTAAATTGGTAATGACCTAACTGGGGTATTTAATAAAAAAAAAATGCAAATGTAGTGTTGTTGCATGTGAAAACCAACATAAATTATCTTCATTATATAAATGTCATACATAAATAAATGTAATATTTAATTAAGTCGTTTACTGCATTAAATCCAAAGCAGGCTGACATTAATAATTTAACAACAGATTTAAGTATCTGGTTGTGTTTTTTACTACATGTACAATATTATTGAAACATTGTCATTTTCTGATTTCATGAAGTCCTAAGTGTTAGTTGAAATAATTTGTCTTAAGGTCAGATATGTGATCACATACTAGTCACAGCAGAGTGATAATCTGGCCATGTGAGGTCAGTTTAAGTCGTATTCAGATTAAAGCAGATTTTAGTCGTTTTCTGTGGTGAGATTTTTCTCTTCAGAGTAAAGTTATGGCTTATCTTTGTGACTTCAACATCCTCAGCAGCCAAAAGATGGACAAACCAAATAACAATGTCATATTTTTCCTTACAAAACCCAAAAAGTAGCAGAGCCAAACATGAGTGTAAAAGTTTTAACTTCTAAAGCATCTTTGAGTAAAGACTTTTCTTTAGTTTAACAATGATTCAGTTTTATTTCTGTGATGTTCTGCACCTCTTTGGTTCAGCCTGAAATCTTCACACGTATCACTATAATCAATAACAAAATTATTAGTGCAAGATATTTGAGAGAATTTATACTTTTTGTTAAAAGGCTGAACTGCAAACTTCTTCAAGAATTTGAGCATTTATTGCTCATGTACACGTATCAAAACTGAAAGTAAACCTATATAAATTGTAGGGCCTGAAAGTATATTTTTGGTCTTTCCCACGTTGCAAACGTATTTATCTAATCAAAAGTGCAGAAAACTACATGCAACATATTTGTGCATGCCATTTATTTTATTAAAAAAAGATGAAACTCCTGTTAAAAGACACAACTGACACAATTTGAAGCATTTTCTCTCATAATCCATTGTGACTATAGTTGTAATTCTTCTTTTAGGGCTCATGTGTCCAAAAATACCAACTCAAGATACACATTTGGATGTTTCATCACTTAATCAATTCTCTTTAACTGCAAGAGAACAGACTGTGCTGAATGTAAACTGCCTTTTTGCTTGTGTTTTTTTCCTGGTGCGTATGTTTACGAGGTTGGAGGCAGCTGGCTGAAATAACAACAGCTTTGGCGTTGGCCTTTAACACCAGTGGCGTAATCTTATCGCAAAAGATTAACCTCCTACGGCCCTGGAAAAGAAATATCGCCACACCTGCCAAAAACCTGACAGAAGGCGCACAATCAGTGTTTTAAACGCAGTTTATGATCTTTCCATCACTTAAATTGACCTTTTTTGTCTTATCTTCCACAGGACACTTTGAAACATCTTCCAGAAATGGCAAAGTAAGTATTATTTATTTCACTTTTTCTTTTGTTCTTTTTTTTCTCTTTCTTCTAGTCTTTTTTCTTTCTTTCACAAATATGGGCCACACCTTTTAGCGTATATTTGGATAAAATGTTGAAAACCACTACATTCTGTTAATCAATCAAATTTAGTTGTGACATGATGAACCATGAATAAAGATAAAAGCGCATAAATACTTTTGTGAAGTATTGTGATTGGGTGCTTTCAGTAGAAAGTTTAAGATTAAACTTTGGATCTAATAATTTTTTTTCACAAACTTAATTGCAGCAACTGCAACTGATTTGAAATGTATATATTAAGTTTTTATTTGACATTTTAATAATCCATTTGCATGATGCTTTATCAGAATCAACTCCTTTGAGTAAAGAACACATACAAATTTGTGTTTTTTACATCAAACTATTTCTAGAAGCACCATAAAGTGTTATTTGTGGTTTGTATGGACTCGTGAGGTGATGCGTTGTTTGAAACCTGCTCTCAGACACTAACACTGTTAAGAAGCTTCAGGCGGGAGCAAAGGGGTTATCGCCTATTTGAGAACTTTAGTTGCAGCTTTTATGACTCCCTCACCTGACCCAGCCTCTCAATCCGGGTAGGATGAGGTAAAGCGGCTCCACACTTAGCTATTTATTAATACTTAATACTTGACTGGATAAAGCAGAATAAATACTTACTGGATCTACAGCTACATGCCAGATAAACCAGTGCTATCCACTGAATCTTAATTAAATCTACCATTCATTCTGACTTTAATTAGTAAATCCAGCAAGACTGTAAATAAATAACAGGTGACATAAGTACTGAGGAGATAGGGTTTTTAAATTTGTGTTTTTTTTTCTCATTTCTTCTCAGGATTTTCAAGAAGACCAGTGGAAATGGAGGGGTTAGTGTTCCTCTCTTGCTTCAACATTTTGATCATGATGTTCTGACTTTTCTAACTTCTCCAACTGCCTCTGTCTGACAGCTTACCCTCTACTTGGGGAAGAGAGACTATGTGGACCACGTGACTGCAGTGGACAGAGTTGGTGTGTGTTTTATTATAATTTCTCCATATTTCTGAGGTTATAATGTTAAGATTTTAATCAGAACTCTTCCCAAATCCAGATGGTGTCGTCAAGGTGGACACAGCAGATTTTGGTGACAGAAAAGGTAACACAAAAAAAGATTCCTTCTGGACTCATCTCCTTGGAGAAAAAAGCAACTCAGCAATAAATAAATATTCAAATGTCGTCATGTTTGCAGCTTTCGTGCAACTGGCCTGTGCCTTCCGTTATGGTAGTGAAGACTTGGACGTGATGGGCCTGTGCTTCAGGAAGGACATCTGGTTCGAGCAGACGCAGATCTATCCTGAGTGCAACAAACCGCAACTGAGCGCCATGCATGAGACCCTGCTGAAGAAGGCGGGGGACAACGCCTACCCCTTCTCCTTTGAGGTAGGGGAGGATTTTCAGACCTCAGCTGCGTCAGCGTTTCATGCCTCTGTCCATGGTGCTGATCCACTCTGCTGGAACTGCTGGGAAAAGTCTGTTTTCATTGATGTCAAATTCAAAATAAGTTAGAAAAGAGACTAGAAGTGAAAAATGTTTATTAAACTTGGCATAATGTTAAGGCTCAGTGTTTATTCATTTAAATAGTTTTTATGCTGCCATTCATCTGAATGCTAACAGCTGTGCTACCATGCAGCCAATACTACATTTTTTTGACAAATGTAAGAAATTAATCATACTGAAGTTACGTAGAATTTAAAAAAAATTAAATGGATTTCATAGAAAGAAAAACAGTACTATTACTTTCCTACTCTATATGTCCAAATTGAAAAACATGGATATGCAATGAAACAATACTGAGGCATTCAGACATTTTGAAAACAAATCTTTGTAAACAGTGTAATGAAAAATGACTTGTTTAATTAGAAGTTGCTTCATTTTGTTTTTCCAGATTCCCAACAACCTGCCATGCTCAGTCTCTCTGCAGCCCGGACCTGACGACAAGGGAAAGGTGCGCCTCTTTTTCAAACCCACACGTCATGAAATATGCAAGACCTTCAACATTTTGTGTCTCTTTACAGGCTTGCGGTGTTGACTTTGAGGTGAAAACCTACCTCGCCATGGAGAAGAACAACCCAGATGAAAAGATTGAAAAGAAGTGAGTGCACTTTTGTTATCAGTCCTGCTTTTGTTTTCAGTCTGACTCATGTTTTCAGTGTTTATATCTGATGTTTTTTTCTCCCTGTGTGCTCCGAACAGGGACACCGCTCGCCTTGTCATCCGTAAAATCCAGTACGCCCCGTCTCAAGTGGGAGCCGGCCCCAAGGCTGACATCTGCAAGAGCTTCATGATGTCTGACAAACCCGTTCACTTAGAAGCATCATTGGATAAAGATGTAGGGGGGCAAATTTATTTTACTTATCTAACCTTTAACCTTTACAACACTGAGATACTGTATTTAAAAAACAAAGAGATAAAAACCACCCCCAACTAATTTCTGTGTTTTTGCAGCTCTACTTTCACGGAGAAACTATTCCAATTAAAATCAAAATCAACAACGAGAGCAACAAAACGGTGAAGAAAATCAAAATCACTGGTGGGTTCCTGTGTTATTGATTTATTGATCATTTAATTAACATCCAGGCCCACCCTGAAAATGTATCTACTTCACTCTCTTCTCACAGTGGACCAAACCACTGACATTGTTCTCTACTCAGCTGACAAATACACCAAGGCTGTTCTTTGCCAAGAGTTTGGGTACGTCTTAGAGCCTAGCAGAAAATAAAATTCAGTCAAAGTGATGGCAAGTCAACTTTACAGATCGGGGAACAAATAAGCAAATTTACCCCAAAAATATAAGGCAAGCCAGATCCACCAAACTGTTTGCCTAAACTGTTAGGAAAGGCCACATAAAACAGATACATTAATATAATTTTCTGATATTGTAATGGCATTTGTTTATGTTTGTTTGTTCAGAGAGACAGTGGATGCCAACGGCACCTTGGATAAAACTCTGAGCATCACACCACTTCTGTCTGACAACAAGGAGAAAAGAGGTCTGGCGTTGGATGGACGGCTGAAGGATGAGGACACAAACCTGGCCTCCACCACTATGTCAGTATTAAAACAACACATCAGACAAAGCTAAAAAAAAGAAAGAAAAACAGGATTAAGTTGTTTTTTAACTGTTTACACCTTTGGATGTAAGCTCTTTTTAGACGTTATAGTTTTGCTGCTGCTTCTTATGAAATCCATGATGTCGTATGGTAGTACTCTTAACTAAAATAAACCTGTTAATCCCTGAAATCCTTGTAAATCCCTCGTTCACACAGGCTGCCGCAGGGTGTGGAAAAAGAGGTGTTGGGTATCCTGGTCTCCTACAAGATTAAAATTAACCTCATGGTGGCTGGAGGAGGGTGAGTCTGTGTCACACCATTTTTGTCTCAAAGAAACCTAAAGATTAAAGTGGATTAAATGAAGAAGGAAAAAATCTTATAATGTTGTTCTTACCCCTAAGCCTGCTGGGCGGCCTTACTGCCAGGTAAGCAGCGTCCATCACAGCAGTTATATCACAGCTGATTAGCAAGCAGCTCTTGCTAATTGTTTGGTTTCTTTTCTTGCACAGCGACGTCACAGTGGAGCTGCCACTGAACCTCATGCACCCCAAACCTGAAGGTACTTTTTCCATTATTAACACACATTTCAGGATGTCTTAACTATCCGTGCTGATATTAATGAATTGTTGTTTATTTTTTTAATTCCTCCAATCTGGGCAGAGTAAAGGATCAGCATCGCTGTGCTGTAAGTACCGCTTTAAGATTTCGGTGTCAGAAATTATGTAGTTTAGGTTCTGAAATTTTTGTGGGACCAAAACGTCAATTTGTTTTATTATACCAGTACAATGTAGTTTCTCATTGGATGTATGTATTTGTATTCTTCCCCTGTTACTCTGATAACCAAAATAAAATCCAGTGCAAGAGATTTTGTTTAGAACTTGCCTAACTTGTAAGATGAATCCAACTGGGTATAATTTAGTCTGTAAAAAGCTAAACCAGGGGACAGCGATCCAAAAATGTTTATCTGCAACAACTAAAAAAGGTTTATGGTTAAACAGTAATATGTGTGTTTATGTGTACAGGTTTTAAAACAGAAATTTTTTTGTATGTAAGTATTTTCTTACATACAATAAAACATATTGTTTTGTTACAAAGTGGCAAAAATGACAAAAAACATCTTTCTGTTTTATTTTGATGTTGAATTAATATGCATCTGTTGCATTAAAATTAACAGAAAAATGCAAACATTTCTGTTTTTACTTCTGTCAAATTTCAAATCACTGGTCAGTTCTGTATCAATGCTAGCCAAACTTATTAACAGCCTCTTTGGAGGGTCAAAAGTGCAACCTGTGGCCACACTGCCATGACCAAAGCTCGGCAGTCCATACAGAGAATACGTTAACCACAAAAACAGCAAAGAAGCCCATGGAAACTCTGGAGGAGCTGCAGAGAACCTGAGCTCAGTTGAAAGAATGAGTATTAACCTTGTTGAAACTACAGCCAGTGATACTTTTGAGTGGTTAAAATTAAAACAGCCTCATGTGTTAGAATGGCACAGTCAAAGTTAAGAGTTTAAGAATATGTTGCAACCTTTTTTTTTTATAAATTATGTCTATAGACACACTTCATCTGCTCTGAGACATTTTAAAATGTCCTACAAAATTCCAGATGTGCAAAGCTGTAAAAATACAATCCAAAAGACTTGCAGCTTTAATTGAAAGTTTCCTCTACAAATTATTACCTCTTGGGGCAAAATACAAATACATATTTCTGCCCCCTTGATTCAACCTTAAATGAACCCTTAATGAATATTTCAAGATTGTATAAACATTTCTAAAAGGCCCTGTTGGATGACTCAATCTCTAATACTTCACAAAAGATTTTTAAATTTTGTGCTTGATCCTAAACAGAGAAGATGTTACACTGCAGATTGAGAAGACACCCACAGAAAGACAGCAAGATAACCAAAGGATGTAACATGACACACAGAAGAAGAAGATTGTGGCTGGTGTCAGGAAGTGAAGAGAAAAACATTTCAATGCAAGACAGAAGGAAATAAGATGTAACATCAATCCCCTGTTAGATCTTTTGTTGTTTCTGTTCACGTAGAGAGAGCATTGCCATGTAGCTGTAGAGAATGTTGGTGTTTAAAACAAAAATAATGCACAAGACCCTTACTTAAACCCTCACATAAGTGGAATTTTCTTTCTCCCATAAAATGTCAGTTCGAAGCCCATAAAACCACTGTGCTTTTGAAGTCTGTGATATACTGTATTTACCCATACAGAAAAATAAATGACTTGGAAAGAAATGTTTTTGTGTTGTAGTTGTGATTTCAAAGTATAATTATTTGCCTAAAGTTTTTTCCCTTTAATCTTTGCTGATATTGTTTGTAGCCCCTTAATGATGGAAGATGTTGCACTTTTGAATCATTTGAACTTTCTCAGATTTCAAGAGTCGTGCAGTTTACAGCATCTTCTTCCCTTCTTATGAAGGGAAGAAGATGAAAGGATGGGAAGAAGATGCTCTGGTGGGTTTGGGTTTAAAATGTATTAGGAGAAAATGTTGTTTCCAAGTGGCTTGAATAGGAGTGCAGGATCTAAACCTTTGATGACAAGTTTTTCTTGCATGAGTTCCTAACTCATGGGCTGCACAGTGGCACAGTTGGTAGAGCTGTTGCCTTGCAGCAAGAAGGTTCTGGGTTCAATTCCTGGCCCCGGTCTTTCTGCATGGAGTTTGCATGTTCTCCCTGTGCATGTGTGGGTTTTCTCCAGGTACTCCAGTTTCCTCCCACAGTCCAAAAACATGACTATCTTAATTGGCCTCTCTAAATTGCCCCTAGATGTAAGTGTGTATGCATGGTTGTTTGTCTCTGTGTTGCCCTGTGACAGACTGGCAACCTGTCCAGGGTGTGTACCCTGCCTCTCGCCCAGAATGATAGCTGGAGATAGGCACCAGCAACCCTCCAAACCCTACTGAGGGACAAGGGTGTAAAGAAAATGGATGGTGTTCCTAACTCTGATGACCATATAACAAGAGGCCATCTGGATTTTGGAACGGCCTCCAAAAATTGCAATAAGTGAGTGCTCCAGCCCTTTTTCCCAAGACAACTTTAACTTTAGGTTTCTCTTAGACATTCTTAATGACTGGGTTCTTAGCTGTTCAACAGCAGTTTAAAAGCCCAAAGAAAAACGCTTTAAAAATCCCGTCTGCGTTTAGGTTTTGAAAAAGCTGACAGGTGTCACCGGCAGGGGGCGGTAAACGCCACCTAATACTTTAACTAGCCACGAAGAAGACACATCACTCACAACGTGTAGCAGCAGTGAAGCAACATGGCTTTGAATGGAGGTTTGTGAACGTAACTGTCTGTTAATTTTGACGTTTTAAGAAACAACTTGTATAGTTTATGTATAATTGTATTTAGCACTAATTTCCGTTAGCTTATATCGACTGAGCTGCTTCGTGTACGTGTTGTTATCCTGACGTTACCCCGGTTGCTTTGACTGCTAGCTTGTTATTATTTTCTGACAACTGTCGTAGCAAGCAAATAGAGATCAATAAAACTTTACTCAAGCAAATTAACTGAAAGCTTTACAATGTGTAATAAGCAATTAGACAGGTAGCATGTTTGTAACGATATTACAGAAGTGTGTGTATGTAGCATAGCTGATATTATCAGTGTGTTTGCTCGGATGTTGTTTTTCACTTGTTGCCGACCTGTAGATGAAGAAGACTTTGAGTGGGAGCCTCCAACAGAAGCTGAGATGAAGGTGATCCAGGCTCGCAGGGAGAGACAGGACAAGATCAGCAAGCTCATGGGAGATTACCTCCTGAAAGGGTTCAAGATGCTGGGGGACTGCTGCGAGGCGTGCGGGGTAAGCAGGACGTTTGCTTGTAATAATCTAGTCAGAATAAAAGCGGAAGCACTTCAGATACTCTCATATTGAGAATGAACTCAAGCACACTGATCAGGAATAGTTATATCACTATTACTGTTTCAGACCTCATTTTACTGTCACAACAGTCCAAATATGTTGAATTACTAAGATTTTAGTGGCAGATACGTTTAAGCCCTGTGTGATGAGAGGTGATTGGATCTGGAACGTGTCTTCTGATAGTTCTCTTAACTTCCAACATGGGCCAGCCTTCGGTCCCCATGCTTATTAATCATGCTTGTGATACAAGCATCACTGAACTACTTTCATGCATCATGACTTAAAATATGGTACTTATAAAATCACTAAATATTTTCCAAGGAGTTTGTTGTTAATCCCCAAACTCTTGGAATGAGGCTGCAGTAATCTATGTTGCACCTTTTTCCTAGTACTTTTTCCTTCTTATCAACTTTCTATTAACATGTTAGCTTCTGTAGCAATGACTGTTTAGGGCTTTTTGTACTATTATGTCTCTTTTTTTTAAAATTGGTTTTAAATAATATTCAACTGTTCTGGGAAACTGAATGTTAAGTTTTCATTAGTTATAATATTAATATTATAACTAATAATAAATATGATGATATCAATTGTGATATATGCTTGTTTCGGTGTTTCCGTCTTTGTTGTGTGTGCTTCCTGTGACCTTTAGCATTTTGAAGATGCTGAAGGTCGGTAACAATTATTGCACTGCAGACATTTACAATCCGAGTAAAAATCAGTGTTACTGGGAGCAAAACAATGGAGAAAGATTCACTTATCTAAGGCATGTGTTTGTGTTTCCAGACTATTCTTCTTCAGGACAGACAGCAGAAGAACTACTGTGTCTCATGTCAGGAGCTGGACTCTGATATTGATAAGGACAACCCTGGTAAACTCCTATATGTTTTTTTTCTGTAGTTTTTATTCTCCTTTCTTCTTTTTACAGATGTTTAAGTTTATCCTCTTTTTCTTGTTTTTATAGCTCTAAATCCACAAGCTGCCTTGTCCCAGGTGAGAGAGCGGCAGCTGGCAGCCCAGGTCCCGGCAGCGGCTCCTGAACTCAACGGAGGACCAACCAGCAGTCAGGCAGGCGTGTCGGTTCCTCAGCCCAGACCGGAGCACTGTGAGGGGGCCGCCGCCGGAGGAAGGGCCCTGTTGCCTCCACCCGTAGTCGCGTCTCCACCGCCTACTGCCTCCACCACCACCCTGGCTCCCATCCGTCCCCCAGTTTGTCCGCAGAACTCCACCCTGCGACCCGTTTTGGAAGAAGCAGAAGAAGCGGTTCTGACTAAACTCCGCTGGGCCACCACCCAGTTACAGAGCTCGGCCTCGCTGGAGGCCAGCATCCAGCTGTGCAGCCTAATCAGCAGCTGTGCCAACTCGCTGCGAAGCCTCAAGGAGCTCAGCCAGTAAGCACACAGGACAGACAAAAGGCGTAAAGTGATAGGAGCGCTGGTTCTACTTTGCTTCGGAGTACTGACTGTTGCCTTGCTTCTCTCTCTGTCTGAATACTTGCTTACAGCTGAATCTGAAGTTGTTCCTAAACACACTTGAATTAGGATTCAGATGTTTTAAAGTGCACGACTTATTCCTGAAATTATGCAGGCATGCACCTAACAGAAAAATGACATACTGATGTAATGGCTTTTGTCAAATTGTAACTTAAAATTTCAAACATTTACTTGTTCATATTAGTTTAAATGTATCCTATTGAGATTATTAAACCAGGGAGATTCTACATAGAAAATGAAATCTTGTGATCTTGTGCTCTCTAGTTTCTCCACAGCCATCTACAAAATGTTGCTGTGCTGCAAATCAGATTTGTTAAATTAACAAATTTATCCTGCCTTCACATGCCTGAATGTGATGTCGCGTATATCTGACCTTTGGGAGATCAGTTGCAGTTCAAAAGTTGTTTGGCTTGACTTAAAAATTCTGTTTTTGACCCCCTTGAGATGCAAACGTGATTTGTGAGGCTTTTGGAAGAAAGAAAAACTGTCAAGTAAAGCCGACAGTCATGTGGATGATTTGCATGGATGCTTGTCTGAGTTTTATTTTCAGTTTATTATAGCAAGTAGAGTAAATACATCTTTGCAATTGTACATCATATGACAGCACTTCATTTTAAAGATCCCATCCTTAATGATGTGTCCAAAGTAGCTAGTTTTTTTTTAATAATGGACCAGAATAAATCCTGTTCTGAAGTTGCACAGTGTGTTTCTTTCCACAAGAGGGAGACAAAATTTATCTATTTTTAAGAAATGGGTGAAATAAAAATATGAACTGAAATTATTATTCCCATTGACTTTCACAGTTCTTAAATAATACAGTGCTCTGAAAAAGTATTTGGTCTACTTTTATATTTATTTCATGTCACAACCTTCTACATATAATATTGGGATTTTTTTAACTGACCAACAAAAAGTGAAACTTATTTGTGAAGTGAAAGGATACCAGCTGTCCAAGGTTCTCATATGAAATCTTGCTGAGCTGTGCATTATCCAGCCTATTCTACTCTCATTCATCTAGATAAAATCAAATACAACAATTACCAGCAGAGTCAGTTGGCCAACGCTGATTTAAACTCAGCATAGATGCAGCTGCCCTCAAAAGGATTCTGGCATTTGATGCAAATATTTTGATGAAGAGCAGGGAGCACAGCAGACAGGTCAGTGGAAAAGTTGAGGAATAAGAGGTCATAGTTCAAGCTATTGTCCGCAAGTGTGATGGCACATCAGCAAACCTGCAAAAGACGGCATTAATCAAAGAAGCAGTCAAAAGGCTTATAGTAACTCTGGAGGAGCTGCAGAGATTCATTGTTCAGGTGGGGGAATGTGTTGGCTGTTAGTCATGCACTACCCATATCTGGACTTCTACTGGTAAGTTGCAAGATTTTCCTTCCAAACATTTAAAATGTGTGGAAGACCCACTTGCTGTTTCCGGATTTTAAGCATGTTGCTCTCTACATCATCGTCAGAAGAAGTAGTTGCATCCACATCAAGTGCAGGAACTATTTAATTAGGTCGTTTAAAACAGAATCAGTTTCCCTTTGTAGCAAACAACGATGCGGGGTTTTGTTTTGTCCGGGTGTAGGAGTGGGGAGGTGGGGGCTGTGAGTGAACGCCCCTTCTTTGACACAAAGAGCAGGATGCAAAACAAAGCCTGGAAGCTTCATATTCTTTCTGCAGCCAAAAATCCCTTGTCTCCCGTCTGAATCCAGGAAGATGATCTCATTTTCTTTGAGTAAACAGCGCCTTTGTGTGAGCAGCTGATCCTGAGAGGTTTTGATAGCGTAAAATCCACTTTTACTGAGGAAAAAGTGTCATGGACGGGAGTTTAAGCAGAGCCGACTATCGGGTTGGTGCCGCCGTGTTCGCCGCAGAGGGTCTGCCGCCGCTGCCTAAGAGCCTGAGCGGGATCCTGAACTCCAGCGGCGGGTCGTGGAGGGACATGCAGAAGATGCACAGCAAGAGGAGCCGCATCCAAGCCGAGATCAGCTGCAGAGGAGGCAGAGAGGCGGCTGCTGCCAAGCCCGGTGGACTGGGCGCTGCGCTGGCGCTGCTGCGCAAAGAGATGGTAAGGTGTTTACTCATCTGCCGCAAAGCATCCACGGTGGGACAGTAAATCTTCCTGTGGGACATTTGGGCTGTAATTAGAAACTTAAAGTCATCAACTTGCATGACCTTTGACTTTAAGGAGGGGAAAAAATGATAGCTTCCCATGAACTGTTTACTTGACCAAATTAGGGAATTAAAACTTGAGTAAGTAATGTCTTTGCCTTCTCTTTGTGCCTTTTCCAGAGCAGAATGGATGTTCTGTTACTCTGTCATTTTCCCTTGTGGAACCTTTAATGGCTTAAGCTTTAAATTAGTCGCCATTTTTTCCATTGTTGTGGTTTTAAAAGGGACTTTAATTATCTATTTTTTCCTTTAATTACACAGTTTTTACATAATGTCTTAATAACTTTACCTTTAAAATACATTATTTGTAATAATGAGCTAAAACACAAAGGTCTGTATGGGAGCTTTAACAATCTGGACTTTTTGATTCATTTTCTGCTTCTGTACTTCAGGTGGGTCTACGTCAGCTCGACATGTCTCTGCTCTGCCAGCTGTGGTCTCTCCATGAGGCCATCCAGGAATGCAAGGGCGAAGCCTCCATCACCCCTGATAACGGATACTCTGAGGATGAAGAGGAGGAGGAGGAAGAGGTTGAGGATGATGAAGAAGAATGAGGATAAAGCACAAAATTCTTCTCAGCCTGCTCTCAGAAATTCCTTTCATTTTCACTAGTAAATATGAACACATGGACCAATCGTGAAAAGAGACCCTGTTTTTAATTTATGTTTTAATTTATCTCATGTTGTACCTGTTTATCCGGCACATTTTGCTCAGTAAGAAAACATTCGATGCTTGTTTTGTAGAAAAGCAGTTAACTAAAAAATGTTTTATGAGATCGCTGTTATGCTTATGTTAACTTTAAGCACATTAATGTGGCTTTTATTATTTTCTTAAAGGTTAGTTTTGTTTGCCCATCACACATCATTCATATCATACATATATAATATGAATGATCATATCATCATTCATATCAAACATATAACCTTATGGGCTTGAGAAAGAATTTAAGTACACCTTTATTTGAACTTTTATGCCTGATTTAATAAATTATTATTTTTCATCATTTGCATATAGTTTGTGTCTGAAAAGGTAAGAACATTTACATGCTGGCATAACACTAAAGAGAGATTTGTTTTTCACAACAGTTTTTTTTTTTTTTTTAATGAAACATAAAACGCAAAAAAGAAACCAGCAGGTCAACAATGTTGTTTTGAACAGTGGCAATTATTAAGATTTTTTTTAACATTTGTGCTGCTTATTTAAAAGTGGGGAAATTTTGATTGCATACAAAGAATGAATTCTTTGAGAGTGAATCCAAAGTACATGTAGGAAAAAAAAAGATTCAAACTAAAATGTATTTTCACCTTTTGAACCGTAGTCAACATGAAACCCACCAACACTCTGTCAATGCAGAATAATTTGGATTTGGCTCATGTGATCCTTTCATGAAGCTGTAAATTATACTTAAGTAGTGAAAGAGTTAAAAGTAAAGGACAGTTGAAGTTCGTAGGGATGCTCTGATTTAAATATATACCTTGTATATTTGTATACAAGGTCACAGAAAACATATTTTTTGTGATATTTAACTTCAGTATGTTAAAAATTTGCCTTTTCCTGACCTCCCAAAACTGGATGGGCTGCAAATGGTGGGAGTTTATTTCTAAGAAGTAAACATTTAAAACCCAAAGATTCCTTTCTGACATCTTCTTTATTTATGTTGTGATCTGGAAACTTTTCACAGATATTATGAGATTTTCCCAAATCCTAGAAACAACTTTTATTTAGTAGAAACATGCTTTCAATACCTCTGAATGCCAAAATAAACTTCCAAGCTTCTTCTTTTATTTATTTAACTCCCACACATAGTTTGAAACCATAAAGTAAAATGTCAGGTTTTGGTGATGTAAAGCAATGATCCTTTTTTCACCTTTGATGTGATTTTTACAATTCAAATAAACAACAAACATTAAATTGACGAAAGACATAAAAATCAAAAACAAGATGCAGCAACCTGGTTGTTTAAGGGACAACACTGCTGAAGTTCTTGCTTTTTTCACAGCACATTTTGATTCAGTTCCAGTATTCAATCTTCTTTAGTCGGAGTCTATCAGGATCCAACCCTGTTCACCGAACAGAAACGTCCAAATCTATCAGATTGTGAGGACATGTCTTGTCCAAAGCCTCTACAGGAGACCCCACAGGTTTTTTCTTCCAAACTTTCATTTCTTTTGCGGATTTGGATGTATGCTTGGACTCTCTGTGATGCTGAAAAACGAAACCCTGCAGTGTATTAATGCGTCTTAAGCTAAGACAATTGTATTGTGCAGGAGACACTCTGTGTCTGTTCACGAAGGGGCTCCTTCTCTCCGCCATGCCCCCAAGTCATCCAAATGCAGCAGCATGGGGAAAAACATTTGGTGTGGGGAGTTTTCAAAGGATGGTTTCATATTCCACTCTATTTAAAAGATGCACAAGCTACAGAGATATCAGAAATGTCAGAAAACATCTGCCAGTTACTGAGCTAAAGATTTGAATGTACCCAAATTCTGTCCATGTCATCCAAAACTATTCTCATTAGTGGTTTTCAATCAGCTGTATTCAAATGTGGACCTATAACTGGCATTTCTTTTATACAGGTGCTGCCCACATGGATGTAGACAAAAATACTATTTAACTGTAAAGTCATGAGCAGTATGTGTGTGTGTTGATTGATTACAAATAGCAGTCTGATGAGCAGTCTATTTTAATGAGTCTGACACTCATTAAAATAAATTGGGCTGATTATTCAGGATTTTTATTAGTAAAAATGTTTTTTGTTGTTGTTTTACCTGTGTGCAATTATCCCAATACAGCAGAGTAACAAAGAGTTAAAGAAGTTTCTGTTCATGCTCTGAACTACAATACATGAAGACATCAGAGCATCACACTGACAGGTGGGTTTACATGTTTGGTCGAGGAGTGGACAGCACTGAAGACTGAACCCACAGTGTAAAATTAGAGTAACTCTGAGTCATGAGAGACTTGCCCCCCCCCACCCTCACCACCCGTCCCGCTGTTGCTGCTGCTTCCCCACGCTCCTCCATCCAGCTGCCTCTGTCCATAAATGATCCATGCCTAAAAATACTCTGCTGCTCTCACTGAGGAAAATCCCTGTGCTTTGACCTAACCTGAAAACACACAGACACATACTTACAAAGTGAACCTGGTCCGTTTCTCTCTTGTGGAAACTATGCTGCTGTAGTTTACAGACTGAAGCACAGTTTTCCCAGAAACATTAGGGGTGATGTTGCTCAGGAAGTGACTCAGTCAGAGCTGTGACTTCTGATACAAATCAGGGACAGAATTTACCAATACAGGATTTTCACCCTTGAACACAGCAAAAAAGTTAGACTATGCAGAGTTGATTATGTGAAATAAGGCTACATAAGGCTGCAACAGTGATACAGAAAGTCAGGGTCAAAGTCTCCAGGTATCACAGGGACTTTGCATAGCCTGCTGCTGCATCAACATAAACTCATTTTGCATATCCTCTCTCTCTCTCTCGTTCTCTACGTCTGTTAGACAGAAAAAGGGAGGGTTGGCTGAGTCAAGAGGAAGCAGATCTGTGTTAGAACAACCCAGAGTTGAGTAAGCTGTGCTGCCTCCATGTGGATTATAGCCAAACAAGGGACGACAAGCTGTCAATGAGAACTCCTGCAGTTGTTTAGTTGGGACTTTTTAAAGCCTCAGAGGGAAGTCAGTTTCTCTTTTGCCGCTCCTGCCTGCTGTCGTCGTTTTTACGCCAGGTTATATCTTGTGTAGTGCGCGTGCAGTTCGAGGTGTTGCAAATGAGCGCAAGTCGCAGCTTGTACGAGTTTCATCAGCGGCGGATGAAGAGGAGGCAAACCCTCCTCTGAGGAACAGAACCAGCCGATAAAAGTTGGATTATTCAACTCTCCCTGGGTGTAAACTTTAACCTTACCAACAGCGGCGATGACTTCGGTCTGGAAACGACTCCAACGAGTCGGTAAAAAGGCTTCAAAGTTCCAGTTTATCGCTTCTTATCAGGAACTTGTCTTGGAGTGCACGAAGAAATGGTGAGTAACGTCGGTTTGTCTGCGATATGTCAACGTTTCTTTTACTGTTTCACTTGAAAACATTCTTCACGGGAGCTGTCTGTGTGTGTTATTAGCTATAATAAGGCTCCGTTATGGCCATGATCAGCCTCATGTTGTGGGTCTTTCCGCTAGACAGAGACAGCTGAGGGCGCCCCGCCCGCAGGCTGAAGCTAGTGGCCGTCGGTTCGATCCCCGACCCCGCCTTTGACAGATATCTTTGTGACACTTAACAGAAGGTCATAAAGTTTCTTTATCTTTAAAGGCAAAAGTCCGGCACACCTACATGTGTTATTGATCTCAGGAATACGGTTAGGAAGCACTTTAAGTTCGTTTGTTGGCGACTCTATTTAGACTTATAAACACACAAGCAAACTGTTGGGCAAAAACAGCGTTTCTGCACATTTCAGCGAACTAAATTTAAGCCTTTTTAAGACCTTCTCAAAGTCGGTGTGAATTATATTTGAGAACAATGTGAATTATTCAAGATCATTTAATATAATTTACTTAATGTATAGCTTATATTTAATTAAGTTTTTATTTTCGTTCGAAGAAGAATATAGGGCAATCATGAGTGTTGGGGTTTCCCCTTTGAGCTTGACTGTTCTTGTGTGACTTTTTAAAATAATTTTGAAGACCTGATCTTGGGTTAAACAGGAACCTACAAGGACTTGATTTATTTAGTCCAGTAAGGTTGGGCTATTTTGACCCAAATTACTGGGCAAGGTTTTTAACCCAAAATATACATAAAATGATTAATAGCCACTTATACCTTAGGGCACTTTAAATGTTAAATGGTCTGACTGTACAGTTACAGTCTCTATGTAAACCAGTCTAACTGGTTAACACAACTACTAAATAAACCAATCACATTGTAGCAACTCGATACATTCAAGCATGCAGAGTGGTGGAGATGACATGCTGGAGTTCAAACTGAGTTGATCAGGTTGGTGCAAATCTTCATGGATATGCAGTTAACTGATCTGCTACAGATTCACACTCTCTGGTGCATGTTTCCCACACCTTGTTGAATCAATACTATGAATTATTAAGGCAGCCCTCAAAGCAAATGTGGAGCTGACTTATGAATACTTCACCATCAGAATCAAAACTGCCCCAAAGTGTCCAATTTATCTAACAGGCATAATTTCCAGAAAGTTTTATTACCCACACATGGAGGTTCTGTTATTCTCTCTTTGAAGTTTAGTCAGCAAAGATCAGGTTATCTAGTTGAAAATGATGAACCCGAGGAAGAAAGCCCATTCTAGTCTTTTCTCTTAACTCAATGGTCACATTTGTATTTTTATGTAGATTTTAGTTATAAATACTTCTATTTCAACAACTTAAACCCAGCGTTTGGGTTTAAGAAATAACCTAGCAGTTTTTAGCCTATAGGTTAAACCTGCATATTAATCTGGATAGGATTTCCAGTCTAAATTATCTGCTAAATCATTTTTCTCCTGCTATTTTTATGTGGAAATATATTTTATTTCAAAGCTGTTTGTATTGCCCCACTGAGTAAATTTCCTGCTATACAAAGCAGTTGGCAGCTGAGTCACAAAAATTGACTCTTACATAAACAGCCAATTTAATTAATCACAGCACTAAGTTTAAAACTTCTTGTGTTAAGTGTTGGGTTAAGAATTTTTACCCTTTGTCCAAATGTCCTCCTGTTTTAAAAGCATATCTTTTGAAACAGGAACTGGAATTATGTAATTATTATAATTATGTAAGCGGCATGACAGCTCTCTGAAATGAAACTCAATATCTCAATCCCTGAAGATTTGACAAAGAAGTAAGAAAAAAGGATGAGGGATTATTAAGAGACAATGACACATAAAGAAATTGGGAAGTTTTTGTTATTATTGGTACAATTGTTGAGTATCAATAAAATACTCATTTATATAAATTAAATTAATTGTATAATAAAGCAATAAGAGAGAAATTCCAAGTAAGAAAGAGAAAGGATAAAGAAAAAACCTACAGCTTATCCAAAACATTGTGTGATTTGTACTTTAAACCGTACAAAGGTTTTGAACACCTCAAACATCACATCGTTTATCAGGTGCAGGAAGTGATAGCATGGGCCACGTGGAGGATTAGATATTCCTAAAAGCTTGTAATATGCAGTAAAATGAAGGCATGCACCTACTTTTTGAATGTTACAAAAAGCAGGTGCATGGCTTTAAATAGCAATGTGTGGCTCTGAAAGCCACACATTGCTATTTATTTTTCAGTTCAGATGATTTACAGCCAATACTCCACTCTCTCATGTCTTTATAAAGAGTTTCTGGAGGTCAAAAACAGAAAGAGGAGACAGTGAGAAAACAAATCATAACTGATTGCAGCATTGGTCTGTATGCGGTGAATGTACAAATAAGCACCTTACTCCCTAGAAAGTCACAAGAATAACATGACATTAAGCAGTGGTTTTTTACTTCCTCCAAAGAAATCTGTCTAATCATTTCCTTTAGGTTTAAAATTTACTAGAGATAGGGCAAACAACCAGCAAAGTTTTTAAGAAACACAATAAAGACACCAACGTTGTTGTTTTGAACAGCCTTGTACTAATAACATGTTACTAACTTTAATTCCACCTCTATTGTCTGTAAAACCTCAGCCTAAGCTATCTATCATTACCCACAAGCTCTCCACTTACTTAATGATTTTGCATCTTTAATTTTCATGTCATAAGTCATGACCGCCCTCTTTATTTCCTCCAAATCTGCCTCATCTCCTCCAGCCATCATCCCCGCTGTGTGCCCCCCCAGGCTATTTCTGAAGCCAACGCCGACCCACTAACACACATACCACATAAACACATGTGCACACAAAGGGCTGCTGGCTTAGTTTAAACACTCACATACAAGGCAGCAGTGAGAGTCACAGAGCCATGGATGGAAACATGGGTTTCATATCACTTGACTGAGTTTCTGATGAGTTTTAAATAGTTTTAAGAAAAATGATTTGTATATTATACAATTAGATATCTGCAGGAAGACTATTGGGGGTTCCTTCTTCCTGTAAGAAGACATACTTCTCAGTCTGGTCACATGACTCTGTCGTTTCCGTTTTCACTTCCTAGAGCAAAGAGAGCACATGAAGTGATGCTACCAACACACACATGTACAAGAATGCACACCCTGTTCAGTCTAATAACAGATGAGCAGCTGCTTGGGTTATAAATACTGATAGACAAATTGGACATGTCACCATGCACTCCTGCAAAATCACACTCTCATACAACAAGCACTGACTTTTCTTGGTCGCAGTGGCAGTATTATTCAGCAGTGACAGTCATAAGACTTTGTGTTGGCCCCCGTGGCATCGCATTTAGGCATAAAGTCCACTTTGTTCAGATGGTCTGAGATCTAATTTAAAAATGTTCCAAGTTCCATGTGAAAACCTTTTCCACATCCCCTTTTCTAGTCTTGTTCACTCGATCTTTCAAGCAGAGTGTGTACTAGGTGTAATTATTGAGTTACAACATTAGGCAAGGTCTGATTTCTGTTTTGGTGTGTTTGTATGTTTCTAAAGGCAACCGGACAAGCTGAGAGTGGTGTGGACCAGGAGGAACAGACGCATGTGCTCTAAGGTAAAGCTGAGATGACAAAACACAACAGACTGTGTGTGTGTCATCAGGGGGATTCTCCTTTTGAGATCACACACAAAAGCCTTCCCTTAATCTGCAACAGTAACATCATTTTAAACAAATGAAAACCTAACTTGGCATTAGTTGATGTTCTGTCATTTTAACATCCCTCAGTATTTAAAATTAAAAAAATATATGCATTTGTTCAGTCTGCTTTCTGGAAGAATTTGCTGATGCATACCAAAACTTTGTATTTGTCAAAACTAAGAGAAAAACTCCAGCTTTGACTTAAAGGTTGTCCATGTGTCAACAGTGAATTTAAACCCCTAAACAGACATGCTAGAGAATAGCAAAGTTCAAGTTTGACACAGCCTCCCTTTCTCCAGAAAAAAGTTATGTTTATTTTGACTCCATTCTCCATGATGCATGAGGATTGTTTTCAGTCAAGATGCAGATAATCCTGTATGTCGAGGAGGTCTCTGCTTAGACCACCTCTATGACAGGTCCAGAAATATGAAAATATGAGAGAGAATTTCAACCAAACTATTTAGGAAAGACATTTTTGCACATAACATAGAAGCCAATCAGATTGAAAACTTGTTCAGTTTTGCATTTGTATGTGATAGAATAAAGTTTTTACCTTTTGAGTGTACTAGTCTTTCACCTTTTTTGAACTTTGACTTCTTAGCTTCTGTCCTGCAACAGTTATAAACATTTTAAAGATGTTCATCAAGTTAAGATGCCTCGATCTAAATCAAATGTAACTGTAACATCCATGATGTTCATGAGATAAAGTGGTGAATTGGCTGTAGGTCCTATAGCCTGATGCTCTGGCACATATCTGTTCTAAAGCCTGACAAATTAATGGCAACGGCAGAGACTACCAGCTCCTACTTGCCACTTAAAGGACTGCAGGGGATTTTGATGCAGTAACACTGCTGGCCGAGGAGAGTCACAGTTATTAGACATCTCCTCTCCTTGCTTGGGCATCAAGAAATGTGACTTGTGCTGTTAGATTTGCTACATCTGAAGAAAAAAATAGTACCTCATAATTATTATAAGAGTGCATTTGTTAATGTTAACTTTTTATTGTGCAGCTCCACAGTTGGCAACCTGGGATAAAGAACCCCTACAGGGGAACGGTGATGTGGCCTGTTCCAGAAAACATCGACATCTCCGTTACGTTGTTCAAGGTATCACATTTCAAATACTCTGAGAGGTGATCCAGGAAACTGTTTATCTGTTTAACTTTTTTTTTCCACAAACAAACTGCTTACAGTATCTCTGTGCACTTTACACTCTCTAAAGTTTAACTCTACTCACTGTAAATTGCCTAGTCTTGCAATCTTTAACTGGGGCTGCATTCCTTTTAGATAAAAGTTCTGGTTTTGCATATAATTTACCTAACAACCAAAATGCAAAGATTCTGAAGTGGAAGGCAAAATGCCTTTCGTCTGCCTAAAAGTGAGCTGATGGGATACATGGACTTGTTAGATAAATGAATAATGTATAAAAAAGACTGAAGACATGAAGTTAATATTTTGAGTTGCACCTAGATTTAAAAAGTTGGCACGTCGGGAAGGGGCTTATGCATATCTAAATATAAAATTGTAGAAATAAAAGAAACAGAATCATTAAGTTTAGAGAGTATTTAATTAAAAACTAATTTTCTTATCACTCCTTTAGGAACCTAATGCGGATGAGTTTGAGGACAAGGAATGGACATTTGTGCTTGAAGGGGTAAGTATCACTCTACTGTTTAAGATGCAAATTTACCCAAGTTCTTTTTACAGTGCAGTGTGCAAAAAGGTTTTGGTAACCTTTAACTTTTTTGTAATCATTTAAATAAATCTTTATTACTACGTCTTCAGGATTTCGAAGTAGTTGTTTATTTTTCCTGTATGCTTTTTCATGCAATGTGTGCTTTAAAAAGGTGAATGACTAAAGTATTACTGCCTGGCTATTAAAGACATTTTATGTCTTTGAAACTATTATTGAACAATCTTTGTAACAGGATTCTTTTCTGCTTAAATTAAATTCAATTTACAAAAAGTGAAATTAAATGTTTTTATAACCTAATTATTTAAGATTCTTCAAAGGGTTTTTGTAGATGGGTTGACTGTGGGCAGGAAGGATCTCCTGTAGCAGTCTGTATTACAGCACCTTTGGAGACGCCTCTGACTGAAGACACTCTATAATAGTGTCATGAAGGGAATGCTGGTGGTTGTCCATGATTTGCTTAATTTTATGTGAAATCTTTCTTTGCAAACTGTGTATCTATAGACACAAGGTGTGTTTGTCAATTGACTTCTGACGTCTTTTTATGGATGAAGAACATTCCTTTTAAAATAGTGCATCACTAAATTCACAATACTTAAAAATCAGCCAAAGTCCGAAGTCGGGCTCCTTGAAAATCCAAAGAAGTTAAGGGTTGAGTTCCAACTTTTTCTCAATGATCACATTAGCCTTAACAGATTAAACTTCCACTATAAAAATAAGCGGCAATTAAAATACTTTAAATTCAGAGATTGTTTCTACTGTTTATCCACAGGAGAACAAAGGTCACCGCAAGGTGCTAGCTTCTGCTGACATCAACCTGAAGCGCTTCGCCAGTCCCACGCCGACCCAGACTGACCTGACTCTGAAGCTGAAGCCACTGTCGGTCAAAGTGGTGGAGGCTGAGCTCAAGTTGTCTCTGTCGTGTGTCTTCATTCGAGAAGGAAAAGCTACGTAAGTTGTTTGTCTTCTTCACTGTCTTCTACTGTAAAAAAGTCTGAAAAAATTAATCTTCTGATGGAGTAGCCAGTCTTTGACTGAAATTCCACATTTCTTACTTCTTTTTTTTTACCAAGATCAAACATAAAAAGAGGCCCCATGTTCTCTCTTAGTCTTTCTTTGCATCAGCTTACCCCACGTACTTTCTATAAGATTTCAGTTTAGAAACAGAGATAGCCATAGGAGAAGGTTGATTTTCTGTCTGGTGAAGCAGTTCTGTATTGATGTGTACACATGTTTTGGGTCAATATTGTCCAAAAAGACTTGATGACCCTTTATTAGTTTTCTAGCAGATGCCACCAGATTTTTGCTTTTAAACTCTTAAACTCACATCACATAGATCCAGTTAATGTCCCTGTAGCGCTTAGCAAACTGCACTTGTTTGGGTTTATGATGGTAGGACAGAAAAAAGGCCTTTAGAAGTAGTTTTCTGAGGGAGATATCGCAATATTTTAATCTATAAATATCAATGCCTGTGAGTCTTATTTGGATGTATGTGCTCTTGTCTTTCCTATTTTGAGGAGGAGCAAGGTGAAATTGGCCTCTGTATCATATTAGGAAGTTATGAATGACTAATTTAAAGTTCTTAGACGCTTTACAGAAATGCTTGAGTTAGTTTATCTTAAATTAATTGTTGGAGTGTCAACAGTGTTGGATTTTTTTTGTTCTTACAAAATAAGCATGAGTGTGAAGGTCACTGTTTTCCCTAATACTTGCATTGCATGATTCTTTGATGATTTCTTCTAATTTTTAATTAAGTTAGTAGGAATAAAATACACATTTTGGGGTCAAATGTATCACATATTTGATGATTCAATGCCTCAGAGTGATGTTGCCTACCCATCTGTAACAGTGGTGTAATAAGGGTTTGTTACTGTTTCTCAGTGATGAAGACATGCAGAGTCTTGCCAGCCTCATGAGTGTCAAACCCACTGATATTGGCAACCTGGACGACTTCAATGAGAGCGATGAAGAGGAGGACCGGAAGTCTGTCACTGCCACAGGTAGGTAGAACGTTTTCCTGATTTTATTCATTTCCTATCATCACGCCAACCTTCCCCGTTATTCTGCTCTGTTTTTCTGACTTCTTCTCTGCTGGACTCTTTCCATTAATGGCTCCTGCAGTTGTTCCACACACACTAACTCGTCCAAACCGTCCCGCTCCCCTTCCTCCTGACAGCCGAACATCCACTGGAGTCACTTTGCCAGCTTCAGGTAGCTCCATCTTGCCTTTTCTGTCACTATTTTTCCTTGCCAGAGAAGAGGAGGTGTGGATGGAAACACTGTCTGTCTGTCTGCATCAGCTGCTAACGCACTCAGATTGTCTCGCAGTATTTCACACAGTCCTGTCACTCGCCCTGCTGCTGAAACCCACATACTTCTCACTTAAACACTAAACACATCAGACTCCAGCCGTCACTGTTCTGAAGTACATCTGCTAGGATGAACAGTTTTAGCTGCGGGACATATAAAAACTGCTCTGTCAGCCTTTGCCAATGTGAAACCTCAGAACTGAGATCTTAAAACCTTTTAGAAATGCAGGAAAATGTCCTCTGTCGATTCCTGTTTCAGTATTCGCCAATAAATAAAACAAATCAGTTAATCCCAAATTATTTGTGGAAAATCTGACAATTTTTAAAAGTATTGGGAAGCTTAAATATCTAGGCACAGTGCTACCTGACACATTATTGGCTTACATTTCTTTTTCTTTTTCGGTGTTTTTAATGCTTTTATCTTTTCTTTTCATCTATTTATTAATTTCTTTTTATTTGTCTTTCTCACTGTTTACGTTTTAATGATAAACATGATAACAGAAACGTAAAGAGCTATATCTAGAGGTTAGAGTCCTTGTCAAACGGCGTTTTGACTAAAGTCCAAAGGGTTGGAGTCCCAGTTGACGGCGTCTCAACTAAAGTTCTACAGCTTTTTATTTCTCTTTCTCACTGTTTACGTTTTAATTACGTTTTTAAATCTCTTTCTCTTTCTCACTGTTTATTACATGCTGTTTTTATTTTAATTATGTAAAGCACTTTGAAATGCCTTGCTGCTGAAATGTGCTATACAAATACAATTTGATTGATTGATTGATTGATATTTGCAGAGTAGCCAATCCAAGAGCGCCATTTATTCATTTTTCTTGACACTGATTGGCTGTAGTCCAAAACAGACCGTCGACGTTAGATTTTGCAGTAGCACTAAGATGTGCATATCAATGCAAATAAAGGTACATTTTCTGTTTCAACTATTAAAATGGACAGTTATATGCACTTTTAGTTGTGGTCCCTAAACCCAACAAATACCAGGGGTTCACTTTAAAATACCATTGAATGCTTCAAGAGATTTCCAATGTTATTTAGCTCTTACTTTTGCATTCAATACAGTTACTACTGGATCAGATTTATTAGGAAGCATGCTTAGTTTTGCTTTAAGACATGTGATTCACATGACTTTATCACCACTGACAGTCATGTGATCCTACCATTGTTTCATTATTTATTGCCAGTCACAACCCTCTTTGTCATTTTCATAGTTTCTCTTTTTCCACACCCCATCTTTCATCATTGTTTTGTTCCGTCTATTAATCCAGCTGGTGGGCATGATGTTGATCCCTCCACTTCCATTCTTCATTCTCGCCCTCCTCTGCCAAATGCTCCACGTCCCTCTCCCCGGCGTTCCCGACATCTGTTCTCAGCTGCTAATGTCCAATCAGACATCCAACCTGCACCTGGCCCCTCCCCTCAGCCTTCGCCCAGGTCTAAGCGGACGAAAATAACCAGCACTGCCCTTTCAGACACTCCTGTGTGTGACTCTGTAACTAGTCCTCCTGAAACGCAGGCCACAGAAAAGCCTCCCCCAGTTCAGAGTGCCTCCTCTGCCTCTTTGCTCCCTGAAAATTCAGCAACATCCAAATCTTCCTGTAATACGTCTCCAGCTTTTGCAGAAACTTCTTCACCTCTGACCTCAAATACACCCCCAGCTCTGTCTTCAGAGCTGCTCAAGCTTCCCCATTCTTCATCACCATCACCTAAAACAGCAATAACATCCTCATCCATGTCTTCTCCAACCACATCTCTCATTGTATCCACTGCTGTGACCCATAAGCCAATCTCAGCAGCCTGCCAGCTTCCTGCTCCCAAATTTACCTCCCTCCAAAGACCCGCTCTGCCCCACGAGAATCAGTCTGTTCAGCCTCCTGTCACATGGACCCTCTCTCAGCCCCCTTCTCTGCCCAGAATCTTCCAGGCAGGGCCAGGTAAAGCTAACAGGAAGCAGGCTGGCATACACACTGCAAAAATGCAAAAGTAATTTTGATCTAGTTTCCAGTGCAAATATCTTACTATACTTGAAATAAGACGAAACTAACTTACAAGTAACTTATCAGCAAGAAAGAAGAGCCTGTTTCGAGTGAATTATTCCTTAATTTTGATGAAAAGTTGTGTTTCTATTGGCAAATAGAGGACATTTTTCCCATGTTATAATTGAAATAATCTGTCTATTGAACTTGTAATTAATATTAAGAAATTATTTACTTAAAACAAGCTCCTATTTCTTGCCAAAAAGTTACTTATAAGTTAGTTTTGTCTTATTTCATGTGTAGTAAGATATTTGCACTAGAAACTGGATCAAAATTACTTGGTAAGATTTTGTGTTTTTGCAGTGCAGGCATGCCTCATACTGTCAGCTGCATGTTGTTATTAGTGTGGTGGTCTTGTGAAATGCTTTAAACTAGTGGGGTGGGTTTGTTTGTGGACTGTGCATGATGATTGATAAAAATTGTTAAGTTTTATATTTAAATGTTTTATCGGTGATGTTGTGTTTCACCCAGGGAGTGGATGCACCTACTTGAACTCATCTTTTTTTCTGTCAAAATTCAAAACTCTGACTAATTTTTGTGACTTGTGACTAAGCCTGTCACGATAACATAAGGATGCATTTGTAGTTTATTTTTTAAGGTTGGAATAATTTAAAAAGTAAAAGAAAACTAACATTTGATTTCAAATGTATTTTAGATTCAAATATATTCATACATCCTCTCATATTAAATGCCCTTTGAAAAGTTGCAGAGAAATGGAAAACTATGCAGCTGTTAACGAGCGTCTAGCTGGACATTTGTCCACCCTTCTTTACAAAATAAATACTTGAAAAAGGTTCCATCTCTTGGAACTTCAGTGCTTTTAAGCATACAGTGGTGGACAAATGTTGAATTAGTTTGAAGTTGCAGTCGATCATGCAGCTTAATGTAAACCTAAATGACATACTTTTACTTTCAGGTAAAGGTTTTTTTGGCAATGCACATTTATCACTGGCATAAATATTAGAAGCTAAATATGCATATCTTTAGCCTATTTCCAAACTTGTACACCAAATTAATTTTGTTGTTGTAATTCATTTGAGTTGCTTATTGTATGTATGACCTTTTCACCCCAAGCTCTGATGCATCCGGGCCTAAAACAATGGCTTTCGTCCCCATGTATGCAAACTTTAAGCACCAACACATCTACACACTCCAACTCAAAACCAGTAACACAAAAGTCCATCTTCTGAAGTCTTCTACAGTCTAAACAACATATTCAGTAGAAAACATTGCATGAAGGCTGCAAATGAATAGAAAACAAATGGAAATTTTAACGAAGGCAGTGAGATAGAAAACTACAGACTTTAATTATTCACTAAGTGAAATAAACATTAAAGAGTCATAAGGCAGGTGTAATTCAGAGAAAGCCAAACAGGAACCAAATAAGGTCAAACAAATGTGTATGAATGGCAGGAATAAAATATGAGGTTCAGCAAACAAACTGCACAGCAAAGTGGAAATAACCAGAAGGAAAATGGGCAGAGTTTATACAGGAGGAAGTACGAATTAATAAGAGTTCCTGTTGTTGCTGTAACCTGAACAGAGTGACTGAGCTGCTTGAATCCTCTCTAAAGTGCAGTTTAAAATAAATAGGTGGATAAAAGACATTGAAGAATGCACATGTCTACATATCCGCATATTGAAATAGAACATGAGTCAGATTAGCTGCACTTACACTGAGATTAAATCTCAGTGTGAAGGATTCTATTTTCCAACTAAGGTTCATTCTGAAAGGTATCAATTACAGTAGATTTTATTTATGGGTATATGTAAAAAAATAGAAAATTCTGTATCTTTTTCATTTCACTTTAAATCTGAGCTACTTTGTCTTAGTCTGCTATGGAAATCCAAATAAAATACACCGTTTGTATCTAAAAAGGGGTTGTAATATTTTTATTTTTTTGCACTGTAATGATAAAGATCCCTTTAACTGATAAAAAAATGCAGCAAACACTGTAATTTTTTGAACAGTAACTTAACTTTGAGAACCACCGTAAGCAGAGCTTTTAACCTGTCCAGACTAGTGGATTTTAAATGAGAGGTTGCAGCTTTTGATTTGTGTTTTCCTAACCTTAGGTTACAAAATCAGTAGAGGAAAAACTAAAGAAGAATGAAGAAGAACTCTTCATCCTGACTGAGCTTACTGTGTAATGTTCTATCTTTTTAGAGGATTTGGGTTTTATTAAGTCAGGTAACAGAAGGAAACTAAGGCTGCATCATTCCTACTTCTGAACACAACCTCTTGGAGATCAGAGCATTGCAAACATAATGAAAAAGCAGAACAAGTTTTCACTAAATCTGAAAAAAGCAAAGGTTCCATCTGTGGTTTCTAAACTGCATGTTTGTTTTCCATCCATTTTCTTTTTTGCTTTTTGTCTTAAGTTTCTGATTTATCTTTTTCTGACTGCTCCTCTTTCTGCTGTCCTTTAAGCTCCTACAGTGCACCAGCAGCGCCCCCAAGAGGTTCAGATCATAGATGATTCTGCTTCAAGCTCTGGTGTGTCTTTTCTCTTTACTGCTTATCCAGTTCATCCCTATATTATTTCATTTTTACTCTTGCCTCCTCTGTCATCTTCCCCCCTGCACATCAGGCCGTTCCCACGTTTTCAGACCGCAGGTTGTGAAATCCTTCGCACGCCCCACCTCTCCCTCTCCTTTATCCACCAATTCTTCTCCGCTTTCATCATCATCATCATCATCATCATCTCTCCCTAAATGCCCGCCCTCTGGCTCAGGTAACCATTGTGTTGGGGCTACCTCACTTCCAACATGTTTTCTACCCCCTTCTGCATCCTCCTCTGTTAGTTCCTCTGCATATGAGTTTTCTTTCTGTTTCCTCCTGTGTTTTCTATCTTTCCTCTTTGTTTCTGTCAGTTACTCAGGGGCTTTGGCCTACATCAGACCCCGCTCCAGCCACTGGAAACATTTCCCCCGTCCCTCTGCTGACTAGTCCAGATCTCGATGCTCTCTGTGACCCAGAGATTCCAGCTCTTTCTGCCACCCTTTTATCCTCTTCGACTTTTTTCTCCTCCTCTCTCATTTTTACTCATTCTTCACCTCCTTCTGCTCAAATCAGCTCTAGTCAAACAGGTACACCAGCTTTTTAATAAACCTCTCTCATGTATTTATTTATTTGTATCAGCTTTGGGTAATTTGAAATCTTGCTTTTCTAACTCTAATGATTTTTTCCTTGATTTCTGTCTTTATAGGCTCATCGGTCTCTGTCCCTCTGGTAGCTAAAGAGACAACTGTAAGTCCAATGAGCCAAGACAAAACGTCTCCTACCAGTAAACAGACAGACACAAACAGAAGAACATTGGAAGAGCCAAAGCTGATTACCGCAGAGAGCAAAGCTGGAAAGACCAGGTGAGTTCAGAGCTTAATTTAGCGTCTTGCTTTGGTTCTTTTAGTCTGTCGGGTCAGAGGAAATTAATCTGTCAACAGTGAACAGATCTTAAAAAGAAAGTGTATAGAAATGTATTATTATGATGTTGTATTCAGGCTAAAAGAAGAAAACCTAGGGGAAGTTTTGAAATCTTCACATTTCGTCATGTTACAACCTCAAAGTCACTTAAAGTCATGCATAATTGGGATGTAAAAGGAATGATTGATGGTTTTTAAAACTTTGACAAGCAACAAAAGCCTCAAAGCTTTTGGGATATCTCTACCCTTTTTATACACCTTACTCCAAAAGTTTCTTATTAGCAAAAGGCAAAAGTTAGTATAGACTGGAAGCAGATCGTCTAATGATTCTCACAGATTCCAGATATTTCTTATTTCCCCTGCATTTCTTTTGGAAAAATCTAAATGAAATATTTTTTTCAGCAATTGATCTACTGTGCTACATCCAGATTTGTGCGGTGCATATATAATAGTTGCCCTGTCAACAGACTATTACACTCACACTGTGAATCTTTACAGCTTCTTCAGTGTTGCCACAGGCTTTGGAGGAATCTTTGTTGGACAACTTCAGGCCAGGTTAAAGTGCTCCCCGCCTGACATTTCAGTTCATGCCTTGGTAGATTTGTAGTTGTGCCTTTCTCTTCCATTTTTCAGAGAATGGATTGAAAAGTTGTTGAAAGCTTAGAATAGCGTTTTTTATCTAAACCTGCTTTAAACTTGTCTTCTTCAATTCAAATTCAGACGACATTTTTCAAAAAAATTTTGGGTAAAAACCTTTAAATATCATGCATTGTTTTTCGTTTACCTCCCAATTATGTACTGCATTTTGTTGGTCTGCTACCAGAAATCCTAACACAATACATGTCTATTTGTGGTTGTAATGTGACAAAATAAAATAAAAAAGTTTAGAAATACATTAGCATGGTGCTCTGTCTGGAAAATGTGAGAAGGGCTGTTGTCTTTGGAAGGTTTTTGAACATATTTTACCTTCCATTATTATTAATTGCTTCAGCAAAGTATTGACCTAGAATAAACATATTATATTGGGAAATATTGATTTATCCTTCATACTCTGTCCAGTGGTCCAATCATACAAAAACTATTACTAAAAAACAATAATTTACCCAACATATCTGTGATGGAGTAACATGATCCATTTAGACCATAAATTCTCTTAAATAGTTTTTAAAGTGTTTTCTGCAATGCTACATAATTGTTTTACAGAATTTCCTGAATCCTGAAAAATATTGAAACTTTCATGGACTCATGTAGTTAATAAAACTATGCATGCTTTGTGACTGTAGAACTGTTTCTAGAACAGATTTTCCTTTAGCAGATGTCAGTATTTAGATGATGATCAGTCGACTTGATTAATCACTGAGTTGGGAACAGACTGCATTTATGAAACTTAAAACTAAGACAATACTTTCGGAGTGGAAAGGAAATCTTTAAGATTCAGTTATTTTCAGTTACATATATTTTATTTCTTTAATCGTTTTTATCTGAAATGAAGGTAATCATGGAGGATTAAACTTCCTGCATGTAAAGTGACTTTTTTGTTGCATGCCAACTACTAATCTACTAACAGCGATGAAACATCATGATGGACAAATCCGACAGCATTCTCTCAGTTTCCCCATCATGACTGTGAAGCCCTGCTTGGTTTGTTCTGCTCAGATCACATTTGGCTCAATGTGTGCTGCTGGAGTTATTTTCACTGTGTGACTTTAATGTTTTACAATAATTATGTGTTATTTATTAGTTTTTATCCAGTGACAAAAAAGAGCTATACTTGATTTTTTATTTAAATAAGTTAAAACTCTGAAATTTGAAAATTGTGCAATTGCTTAAAAGTTTTAGAAAATATAAAATTTGTAATCCAGTAAGGAAAGTTCTGTTAAATAAAAATATTAGGGTTAATAAATTGCATATTCAGACATGTATATGTGCTACATATGTTTTAATATTTTTTTTATTTGCATGTAGGAAGGATTTGTCATGTGTGCAGTCACTGTCCCTGTTTTGAGTCTTCATGTTAAGAAAACCTTTTAATCAAATGAAAATTTTCTCGTTAGCGGCTGATATTATTCTACTGTTCTTGATAGGACAATGTGCAAACTCACTTTTTATTCTACTGTGTAACTCCAAATGAAAACATGTTACAGTGCATGGTTGCATACGACCAGGTGTGCTTCCAGAAAATTTCAGTGGGTGGTTAGAGGGAATCCATTGATAATATTTGCACACTAAAACCAAAACCAATATAAGGGCTGCCTCTGCCCTTATTGTTGCTGTACACTGCTGGTAAGCTGACTGAAAGCTACTTTACTTTTACCTCACATAAAAAGAAAGAAAAATATGGCTGTTTAGTAATATTTCTGGTTGTCAGTCATATGTGGAGGCTAAAGAAGCTCCATAATTGATTATGATTTTCTGTTTTAAAATTATAATAGGGAAGGTATCTATATTATTCAGCTGGTTTCAGGCTCTTTGATATAATAGCTCATGCTGATTAAGCAGCAAATATGAGCGTTACCACTGTTTCGCAATGAAAGGCAGAATGACAAAAAGGTGTATCAATTTTTTCCTATCAGATTCAAAATAAATATTACAATTATCACAGTTAATGTTAATTACTTCAGAAGCAGAATAAATTAATGTCTTTTTAAATAAAATGTTCAAAAATAAAAGACATGCTCCAAATAAATGAAGAAATTAACGTAACTCAATAAACCCTTCCCTTTTTCACATTCATATTTTTACATTTTCTTATAAAATATGCTTAACATAAGGCTGCAAAATGAATAGATTTAATGGGTCCCTTAAAAGTCCTCATTACTCTTTGGTGGTGCCATTGTTCTGATGAGGAGCAGAAGAAAGTGAAAAACATTTTCGTCTGATTCATTTTTTGTTTTGTGTGTCAACTAAAGACAAGCATGTGGTAACAGGTTAGGACCGGATTTTTTTTGACAAGTTTTATCATCACTTATGAACATTCGAACAGCCCCAAGCTAACCAAGCTGAGTGATTCCTCTTGCTGATACAAATCAAGGCTTCTGAGAAATCTCTGCCTGCAGTTTCTCAATACCTCAGTTTGCTTTGTGTGCTTCTGGTTTTGGAGCTTCCGGGTTGCTAACAGCTGCACTTCACTTCCTGTTGCAAGAATCCTCCTCTTTCTCCCTGCATTTAAGATAACCAACAGCTCTGCAGCGTGTCCTCATGCTCAGTCTCGTCTAATCACCTGTTGAGTCTGATTGCTTATATCTCTGTCCTCAGTCCTGCTCAGCCCTGCTCAGAGCTGATCATAGCCCCGCCACCTCCCTGGCCCTTTTCCTGCACTGAGCGCTCCACCTCTGAGCAGCCCTCCACCTCTGTCGTTGCTGCGTTTATCACACCTAAGCAGTCAGATGTTGAGAAAAAAACTGAATCGAAAAACAAAATCAGTGAGAGCGTTGTAAGTGATAAACTGTACAGAAAAACACTTGAATGTGACTATGAGAACAAAACACTTAACCAGAAACAGAAATCAGGGGTATTGTTTCTGGAAGAGGACAACTCTAGGTGTGATGCAATCAAAAGGTGTCCTGCAGGGTGAGTTTTTCTTATTTTAATGACAAGATCAATGTCACAAAAATAAACACAGAGTGCTTTGCAAAAGCCATCATCGCTTTTTAATTTGATCACATTATAAAAACAAACTTTACTGTGTTTTACTGGGGTTGCATGTGGAAAATGAACACAAAAAAGTGCATGATTAAGAAGTGGAATGAAAGGATACATGATTTTTCATATTTCTTTTTAACAAACAAAAATTTGAAAAGTGTGCCTTTGTATTTAGCCTCCTTTATATCACCATAAAACCTGGAGGGGACACAATATCTGGAACACAGCAGCCCCATTTTAAATCATGGTGGTGGCAGCATCATGGTGTCATGGTGTTTTTTGGAGTTATTGGGAAGATGGATGGAGATAAATACAAGGCAATGCTGTAGGAAAACCTGTTCAGGCTGCAAATTACTTGAAACTATAGTGTGGAGGTTCACATTCCAACCAACTAAACTAAAAACTATTAGATGATTCATTTATGAACTATTTTCCTGTCAGTGTTTTGTGTTGCTTTATCACATGAAATCCCTATAAAATACACTGAAGTTTGTGTTTGTAGCATTCCAAAATGTGAAAAAGTTCCAGAGCATTACTTTTGCAATGCACATTAACACAGGACTTCAGAATGTGAGGTGATGCTGACAAAGAAAACCCAAAAGTTAAGCCTTTTTATTTTATCTGTTCTGCAGTCTTGAAAGTAAAACAAATGAAAAGCCATCACTGACAGAACAGTTTGAGGGAGCAGCCGAGAAGGAGAAACAGTCAGAAATCCAAAAGAAAGAGGAGGAGAGGAGAAGGAAGGAGGAGGAAGAAAAAAAGATGCAACAGAAGCAGAAAGAGGAGGAGATGCGAAAGCATGAGGAAGAGCGGAAAAGGCTGCTGGAAGAGGAGAAGAGGAAGCTCCTGCAGGAGGAAGAGGATGCAAAGAAGGAGAGAGAGAAGAGGAAACTCGAAGAGGCAAGACTGCTGAAGGAGAAGAGAGATAAACAGGAGAAAATGAAGGAGGAAGAGGAACAGAAGAAAAGAGAACAGGAGAGGAAGCTTCTGGAGTCAGAAGCAGAAAAACAAAAACTGAAGAGAGAGGAGGAGAAACGGCAAGAGAGAGAAAGATTCATGAAGAAGATGGAGGAGGAGAAAATGAGACTCTTGGAAGAGGAAAAGACGAGGAAGATTGAGGAAAGACTTTTGAAAGAGGCAAAAGAGAAGGAACAACAGAAAATAAGAGAGGATGAAGAGAAGAAGAAACAAGAAGCAGAGAAAAGGAGATGTGAGGAGGAGGAAAGAAAGCAGAAAGAGGAGAAGAGACTGAAAGAGGCAGAGGAGAAGAGAAAGAAGGAGGAGGAAGACGAGAAAAGGAAGGCAGAAGAAAAAAAGAAGTTGGATGATGAGAGCAAGAGAAGAGAGGAAGAGGAGAAAAGAATTAAAGAAATGGAGGAGAGAAAAAAGAGAGAGGAAGAGAGAAGAGTCAAAGAAGCAGAAGAGAAAAGAAAAAAAGAACAGGAAGAAAAAGAGAGACTTTTCAGAGAAGAGACAGAGAGGATGGAGAGGAAGAAGAAGGAGGAAGAGGAGAAAAGGCGTGAAGAGGAAGATAGGAAGAAAGTGAGGCAGAGAGAGAAGGAAAGGATGCAGAAGGAGACAGAAGAGAGAAAGAAGAGAGAAGAAGAGAAGCAGGGAAAGCTGCAAGAGGAGCAAAGGAGGCTGGAAGCAGAAAAGAAAATGAAAGAAGAGAAAGAAGAGGAGGAAAATAAAAAGAAAGAAGAGCAAAAGAAGAAGCTTTTGCAGCAGAAGGAGGAGATAGAGATCAGAAAGAAAAAAGAGGAGGAGAAAACGAAAAGCCCCCCAGTCAGCATTCTGGAGGAAAACAAGTCAGATGAGGACAAGGAGAAGATGAAAACCATCTCTCCACTTGGTTTCAATAAATCCCAAACGGATGTCAAAGGTGAAACACAAACTCAACCTCCTGCTCTACGGTTCCCTCCACTGGTGAAAAACGGCATTACAGCCAAACATCTGCCTGAACAAATTTCCCTTCAGTCAGAAGAAGGAAAGAAACTGAGTGAACCGAACTCTGCTTTTGAAAAGCGGTAAGTTTCAGTAACGATGTGGAGCTGCAACCAACTGGTGTTTGCTGCTTTGTGTGGTCTGCTTCTGTGCTTACAATAAAATCTAATGATTTTACTTGTAAAATTAACTATCTTCAAAAATTAAAGCTCTCACCTATTTTGTTTCTGAGCTGACTTATTCCATTTGTATGATATTTCTTACATGTGGTGTTGTGCTTACTCTTTGCAATGAACTCTGTGGTATGGGGTTGGAAAGACTGATTCCTTTAATTAACTAAAAATAGGAATGAAGTTTTCTTTCTCTCTTTCTCTTCCAATCATCTGAACCCTCAATGCAACATAAAGTCGAGCTTTTCCGAACAAAAGAAACTCGTCAGCAGTAATTTTTTTAAAAGTAAAATATATAAGAATCATTCATCATCTTTGATACATAGTATTGCTGAAGTTTAAGAAATATTCTATTTTGCCCTGGTTTTCTATAACATTTCACAGCCTCTGTGTCACATTATATTTATACCACAGTGGAAAAGAAAAGTTCATAGAGTCGAGAAGAAAGGGGAAAAAGTATATTGTAAATTTAAAAAACAGATTAACTTTGTTAATGGATCAACATTTGGTAACCAAGTATGATTTTTTTTCCCCAATGAAAGAATGTTGTGTTCATTTCAATTTCTTCAACTTACAAATGTATTCAGTCATCCTACCGTCTACTACCAAGCATCAAGTTCTGTTCTCAAATGTCTTGCATATCTTGTGTTTGCTGTAATCTTTGACATTTTTCTGCCTGTTTCTCTTTTGTTCTCTATTTTCGTTTTTGGTTTCCTTCTTTTCCTTGCTTACTCCAGTCTGAAGCAGCCCTCTGTAGTGGAATGCTCCCTGTCAAACTCTGATACCTCAGAAAAGAAAGAAACCGCCTCGCTTCATTCACCCTGTGATATTGAATCAGAGGAGCTGAATAAAATAATGACATTAGAGGTCTTGACGCTGGCACCGCCTCCACAGAGGCTGTCTGACGCAGAGACTCCTCTATGGAAAGTCTTAGAAGGGGGAAGTTGCAAAGATACAACTGTACAAATCTCTGCTGAGGAGGGTGCAAAACCTTTGTGCAGAGGGTAAGAACTGACAAGGGAACATCTTTGTGCTTGCTTCTCTGCTTTATCCTCCCAGCCATGCTTTTGTTTGTTTAGTGTGTGATACTTTGGTTTATAGATACTGTAGTTTAAAGGAAATATGAATTAGTATTCATCTAGCTCTCTTTGTGTTGCAGTTCATCCTCTGGAGAATCTACCAAGTTGGAAACTTTGGTGACACAGCAGAACCACACAACAGCAGCAGAAGATCCAGAGACACATTTAGAAACACCAAAACCAGTTCCAGAGGAAATTAAAGAACCTGAGAGACCTTTTGTGCAACCAGTAGCCCCTTCTGAACCTTCCCCAAAACCAGCCAGAGAAAGGACAGATTTGTTGCCCCCAAAACCAAAACAAGAGCTGCAGCAGGAGAATGACATCCAGCCACCAGACAAATCACAACTGGAAGGAGAAGACAAAGAGAAACTACCTAACGCTGCTGATCAGGAGAATCTTGTGATCATTGAAGAGCCGCTTCTCCATGAAGAGAACAAACTGTGGGCAGCTATGGAGGAGACCACAGCCGAGACGGAAGCACAAAGGGGGACGGGAAGTACTGAAAGTCCTGGATTGAAGGAGGAGGAAGAGGTTGTAGTAGGGGGGTGAGTCAGTGATGGTTGCTAGCATTGAGATGCAAACCTGCACTTACTAACATCGCTCCACTGTGCTGCTTCCTAACAACAGCGAGTAACTGAAGTTCTTCTTTCCATACTACCTGTAGACATTCATAAGTGAAGGAATTTCATCTGCAAAGTAAAATAAGTGTGTATGTTTGTTTTTCTGTGTGTGTTAGCACCCAGAAAGGTGCAGAGGATGATGTGTGCATTGCAGAAGAGCAGAAGGAGACATCTGCTGGCTTTATGTCAGTGATGTTTGGGGTGTTGCACCGAGGGTGAGTCTGCCTGCTGCTGCGGTCAGATTAACTGTTGAGGTGTGCCGCTTTGCGGACTGAAATAACAATAGTGACTGAATGTTTTTGAAGCTTTTTTAAACAGATTTCTGTTTAAACACGACCAGTTATGAAACCAAACCAGATTTAAACTGCATCAAATGTAAGTCTGCAAGCAGCAGTAGCACAGCTTTATTTTATTTTCAGTATTAGTGATTTGTGAGAAAGAGAGACAACAAGACTCGAAGCAGACAGCAGTCTAGTTGTGCCTAATATTGACATTTCTACAAAAAGTCATCTAATTCTAAACTAAAATTAACTACAAATTAATTACTGTCTGTTGTGCTGTTCTGTGAACATCTGATCATATTTATGCAGAAATATGCCATGTGCTTTCCTAAACCTATAAGAGATAATCTCAGTGCTTCATTGGTGATGAATTTTCATTGGTTCTTTTGTTAAATTCTCTTATTCTGCTGAGAAAACGTTGCTCAACGACAGCTAGTTGCAGAGAACTTGCATATTTAGTTATTTTCCTCTTGAATTAGAGCTTTTAACAGCATTTGGAAAGTATTTTGATTGCTCCTGGCTGTACCAAAAGAGCAGTTCTCTCTATTAAAAATAAACCCATGTTTCCTTTGGGTTCTTCAAGCAGCATTTTCTGGAAGCAGACCAAAACAAAGTCTACTAAGAAAACTAATCAAACATGATGTCTGGCTGGTTCTCTGTCGCTGAGTTCAGCTCCGGTCATGTTGCTGGGTCATTTCAGGGTGAGCTGTGTCTCATAGTTTTCCTGTCTGTCATATTTTGCTTCTTAGCTATGAGACAATGGCCTCCATGCTGCACACATCTGCATCAAATGGTGCCAGTCAGGAGCCTCCAGCAGATAAACTACAGTCACTTACAAACACTTTTCAAAAAGATGATGCAGCGATCCGGTGCACCGCAGAGCCAGATAATGAGCCACCAAACTCTGCTGGTGTGAACATTTTACCTCCAGCAGCTTTCTCTGACTCAGCAGAAAGTCAGATGATGGTTGAAGACGAGGTCCCCAAGCCTGAACCAGCTCAGGGAGCAGTAAATATGACGCACGGACTGGGCCTGGTGGCAAGTCTGCGACTGGCAGCCAGCGAACAAGAGAAACAGAGAGAACTGGAGATGGAGAGACGAGAAAGAGAGGAAATGGAAAACCGTAGAAAGGCTGAAAGGGAGAAAGAAGAGCGGGAAGAAGCTGAAAGGCAAGAAAAAGAAAGACTTAAGAGAGAAGAGGCAGACAGGATTGAAAAGGAAAGATTAAAAAGATGTGAAGAAGAGAAGAAGGAAAAGGAGAGACTGAAAAGATTAGAGATGGAGGAAAAAGAAAGGCTAAAGAGAAAAGAGGCAGAGAAGAAAGAAATGGAAAGACTAAGGAGGAAAGAGGCAGAGAGAAAAGAAAGGGAAAGAAAAAGAAAAGAGATGGAGAAGATAGAAAAGGAAAGACTGCAAAGAGAAGAGCAAGATAGTAAAGAAAGAGAAAGGCTAGAGAGAGAAGAGATGGAGAAGAAGACCATTTTTTTCAGGCAACAGAGGAAACTTGCTGATGAGACAAATGAGGAAATACATAAGGAAGAAAATGCAGAGATGGAAAAACTCATGAAGGGATGGGAGAATAGAGAGGTGAAAACTCCTGCCGGTATTTTATTTGTTCAGAACCAAGAAAAAGGAAACAAAACTCCATCAAACTCCTGGCCGCCTCTGAAGAAGGCAGAGCTGGATGATATCGCATATGACGAGAGGCTACAGGGAAGCAATGAGAAGCACAAATCTGACCCCAAACCAGCCAGCAACATCATCCCTGTTTCTGCAAGTACATGTAGGATGATTGATAACAAAGCCAAAGACTCTGTGAGCGCTGATGTGAAGGCACAGCACAGTTCCAGTCTGAGAGCAACCAAGCAGGGTGCATCCAGACCTAAACACAATGCCATCCCAGTGTGGCTGCGAGAAGAGGAGGAGGAGGAAGTAGAGTATGAAACGGGACAGGAAGATCTGGGCTCCATCTGGCTGGCTGAGCTGTATATGGAAGGAGAAGCAGGGCGAGTGAGGGGTAAGGGAGGGAGACATAGCAACAGAAATGGGTGAGTAACTTGGCTGTTGTCAGAAAGATCTCCTTGTTGCCTGCTGTTATTCAGAGAGAAGTCTGAAGCATTTGTGGATGTTTCCTCATAACAACGTCCATCTCCTAGAACATTTACTAACTTAAGTTCATTGCATACTGAGGATTTGGGTGTTCTCTGTTAACTTTTTCTTATGACAGAATGGTGTCTGCATGCATTTATCAAGATTAAGTTATTAATCTCTATAATTTATAATAATTTCATATACATCCATTATAAAACAAAATGTGTGCTTCTCTTGCATAGAGGATATCAGTAAAGTATGGTTGGGAGGCGATCAGCACACCTCTCCAAAGCAGACTCCATGGTTAGCGATCCCTATCCATTAGGCTACATGCTAATGGGTCGTAGTCTGCAGCACAATCCAGTGTTGTGGGATTTTTATCCACCACAGCATCATGTAGGATATATGAATTTCACAGCACTATCACTACATTGTTGTCCAGAAGTTAGGATGCTAGTTTCCAGCATCAACACAGGCTAATATAATATTGCTTACATGTTTTTGTTATTGATGGTCGTTTTAAATGTTGTGAGATGCATTTATTGTTTAAGCCTTGTAGCATGGCTAAATAGGTGTATTAGCATGGTTTTAGTCTCTGGTGCTGCAGATTAGCAAAAATCTGGCATTTTTATGAGGATATTTTTTGTCCATTATTGTTCTGGGAGCCTTGAAGATCATTTTAAACTAACAGCTTCTGGGTTAAATAGCAAAAGCCATTTGAAAGATTCTTAAGTTTTGTGCTTTTTCACTTGGGAGCATCAAAGTGACATCTCTTCTGCTGCTTGGATATGGCGAAGCATGCTATTAATGCTTGCTATGTTAGTCATACCTGGGACAGGCGGTACATTTAGCTTTGAATTCTCCCATTTTTATCTTTAGCCCAGACCACCCACTTCCCGCTGTGGCCCTGAAGCCTGCATCAGCCCCCTCCTCTGAACAAGGCTCTAGTCTCAGCTTTGATGTGAAACAACAAAATAGACCTCACAGTCAGCCTCCTGACCATCGTTTTATGTCTCACATGAAGGAAACAACACAACAAATTTCAGACCAACAGCCAGTGAAAAAAAGGAGTGATGGAGCACTTACTAAAATTGATTATGATGTAAATGTAACAGAGTTTGCTCAACCTTTGGTGGTGTCTAAACCACCCAGTGGCATAAGCATCAGTAAGGTGAACGAGACAAAAATGCCTGTGAATTTACATGGGAGTCCTGAATTGAAGTCTGAAGATGACCTGAAGATCCCCAGTTCAGCCAACAATCTCTTCAAAGAGCAGCAGCTCCAAGAGGAGGAAAGACTTTTACTGGCTAAGATTCGACAGATGTCAGGCGACATGTCTCCGGTCAGTGGGCCTCGAGCCATGAAAAGACTCATTCCCACTCCTGGTGATATTGACATTGATGTTATGGAGAAAGGAGTCCCTTCAAGCCCCCCCACTGACACCACTGCTCACATTCAGCTCTCCATCATTACCTGCTCCAATGATCTGCAGGAAATAAGACTAAATGACACGGAAGAGCCACTTGTAGAGGAAGAAGCGTAAGTCTGTAAACCTGCGCTGCTCTCTGAAATCACCTCTATTATATAGAGTTGATGACTAGAGAGACTTTGGTTGTCTTCTAGTGTATCTACTTGTAGCACATTGCAACAATTTATTTTAACTGTCGTCATGTCAGATTAATTGTTTCACTGTCCTAAAATTAAGGAAAGAAAATAGTAGACATTTTATTTTTGTCTTTTCACGCGTGAAAATGACTTGGTATATTCCTATTTTCATGCTTTATTTTTTGTGCAGATTGGTAATTTTGGCCTTTTTTGACTGATAAAACTTTTGTTCTTTATGCTGTGTACTTAAAACATATTTTTTTCACATTTTCATGTATTTATTTCATAGTGTATATCTGGCTTTAGGCAACTATAATGCCAAGTCAGAAGAAAAATTCAGAATGCTTTATGAATTTTACGTCACGTTGTCTAAGAATCCCATCATTCTTCATTCGTCTTCATCAGCTTGTTCAGCTTTTTCATCAATGCATGACTGCATCTCTTTTGCTTGTATCTCTGGTACCTCCTTACAGCGGGTGGATTCTTCCGTTTCTTTTTTTTTTTTTCAGATCTCTGTCCCATCTGTTCATCATCTGCCTTCTGTCTTGTTGCCTTCTAGGTCAAAGCACAAAACAACCGACGTATCTGATGGTGGACCGGTTAAACAATCGTCTCATTCCAAAGACACCTCCAGTACACACACCGTCATTTCCTCACTTCAGTGTGAGATCAATAATTCTCGGCTTCCAACATTACAAGAGGAAGAAACCCCCGAGCTCAGGACCACTGATCCATTTGCAGAGGTCACAGAGGAGGTCAATGGGAAGGATGACACTGAGGTAAATGGATCATAAACAGACACTCAAAAGAGCTTTAATAAGCCCATAATTAAAACTGAATTGCTTGTTTATTCTGCTTTTCCTCAAGGACCTTGTGAACTCTAGTCAGTCATTGCTCCAGTGGTGTCAGAGCATCACCAACAACTACAAGGGTGTAAAGGTCACAAACTTCAGCACGTCCTGGAGAAACGGCCTGGCCTTCTGCGCCATACTGCACCACTTTCATCCAGACAAAATGTAAAGCATTTCTACACTATCACTTTTGTTAAATCTCTTCTTTGAATGCACAGTTCATGGTTTAAATGGCTTTCATCTGTCTTAAATAAATTTTATTGTGCTTCTGCTTTTACCCCATCAGAGATTTTGAATGCTTGGTTCCTCATGACATCAAGTTAAATAATAAGAAGGTGAGAATGGCATCCATTCTTTAGTCCTCTGTGTAATGAGTGCAACCACTGCACTTAGTGTGTTAGTTTTTGAATCTGCTCTAAGGCAAAGGAAATTTAAAGCTATAATTGAAATTGAACTGAAGATAAATACATGCGACATCTCTCTGATTTTTACCTCTATAAGATGAATGTGCAATAAAATGCATGTAAGTTCATAACATGACAAAATGTATAAAGTTCTATACTAAATTTTGATATACAGAGCTTTTTTACTTTGATTATTATTAATGACAGTTACGCTGCCCATTTTATCCGTTGTTTAACCTCAGGCATTTGACGGCTTTGAGGCGCTGGGGATCTCTCGTCTGCTGGAACCGTCCGACATGGTTCTGCTGTCCGTCCCTGACCGGCTCATCGTTATGACGTACCTCAGCCAAATCCGCTCACATTTCACCAACCAGGAGCTGAGCGTACTGCAGATCGAGCACAACAGCAGCCAGTCCAGTTACGGGCTCGCTCCGTCTGGTCCCGCTCCCACCAACGTCGACGCCGCCGCCTTCTGCATGGCCAGGCTGAACGAAGGTGTGAGTCTAGAGGAAGGAGGAAGCAGTGCCTTGGTGGTGCCACCACCCAGAACCAAAAGGACTATTAAAGGTGCATTTCTCATTTTGTGAAGCTTTTACTTATTAGTTTTTGCTTGTTTCAGCCTCCTAACTTCAAAAGAGTGACGGCTGCTGCCTTGTTTTCTTTACGTCCTTATCAGTGCCTTTAATTTTTGCTGAGTAATTTTGAAAGAAGCCTCATTACGTGTTTCCTATTGCATAAGATTTATTAGAGTTAATTTCTTATATCTTTCGAAACTGAAATCTAAACATGTGTAACTTGGAATCTCAAAACCTTTGTCAAAGTTTATGGAAAGGACTAACAAGTATATGAATGCCTTTTCTTGACGGGTAATCAGACATCTCATTGCTTTCGTTATCTTTTTGTAGCGGAAGAAACAAGAATCCCAGTTCCACCCCCGAGATCGGTTACCAAAGCTGCCAAATATGAACAGGTCACACTTCTTGTCATCAAATGAAAACTCTTCAAACAATATGCGACGTCTATTAGTGTATTATATTTTGCATTTGCAGGATGAAGATGCTTTATCTCCTACTGAAAATGCTAATGACTCAGGTAGGTATTATCTGGATTGAGTCTTGCTAGCACCTAAAATTCTGGATATTTCTTCCCACTTTTGACTGGATTATTATTTTTTTTTTTTGCTGCTCAAGATTTAATCTGTGTTTCTGTGTTTGCAGAGCTGCAGAGTGCAGTTGACACCCAGCCTCCTAAACAAGAAGAAACTATGGTCAGTTTTGTGTTTTTTATTTTTATTTTGCATAACAACAGCCCTCTATACAAAATCACAATAAATATCTCCACTGCAGAATAAATTAGTTTTCTCCAGTGCTTCTGACTTCCCTCTAATCTCTGACTGCCCTTTTTCTTGTCGTCACTTTTCTTCTTTTCCCCTTCTTCTCCTCTCCTCATGGCTGCCGGGCCATTTTCATTTTTTTGTTTATTTGTATTTGTGTGTGTTTGCATGTTGTGTACATGCATGCAAATGTGTGTGTGTGTGTGATGGGACTTGTGGTCAGCACCTGCAGGACACCAGTCAGTACGTCTTGAGCGAACTGGCGGCACTGGAGACAGAGCAGAAGCACATCGACAGCAGAGCGGCAGTCGTGGAGAGACGATTGCGAAGCCTCATGGAAACAGGTTGGTTTATTTTTTAAATTCTTTCTAAGAGAGGTGCGAGTGTTCAATGTTCTGTTTTTCACAATGCAGGAAAAGGTTTTAATTTCCAGAACTCTTACATGAATTTACAAATTATTCTCTTCTGTTTGCAGGGAGTGATCGTGATGAAGAGGAGAGATTGATCCAGGAATGGTTCACTTTGGTGAACAAGAAGAACGCTCTGATACGCCGACAGGACAACCTGGAGCTATTGTAAGCGAACTGAAAATACACGTTTTATATTGTAAACATTGAGTTTATTACAATCCCCTAATTTCTGACTGCTCTGCAGACAAGAGGAGCAGGATCTGGAGAGGAGATTCGAACTTCTCACCAGAGAACTACGAGTTATGATGGCTATAGAAGGTCAGTGTTTGGTGGAAGTTTTATTATATCTATGGATCTGTGTCTTAGGCACTGAAAACAGAGTTCAGGGTAAACAGAAGATTAAATACACATGTACACATTTAGAATAAGTTATTCATAGCTAAGATTTGTAATTTTGACTAAATTTTGATTGGTGAACATGCAAAAGTCATGTCTGTCTCTACATAAAATGCTTGCATTTAGGGTTGTTCTTTGCTTGTGAAATTATTGGTGAAATGTAACAAACTAGTTTTTTAAGTCATGTTTGTCAGAAATGCTGTGGGAAATGGTTCATATTTTTGTTTTTAACTTGCAGAAAGAGAAACTTCTTTGTTATATTAAATCAAAGAGCGAAGCATGTAAAAGTAATCGTCAGACATAATCTTGTTTTCAGATATCTAAAGCATTAATAAAGAAGTACCATTTGACATTTTGCCGTATGTTTCACAGACTGGCAGAAGACATCGACTCAGCAGCAGAGGGAGCAGCTGCTCCTTCAGGAGCTGGTGTCTCTGGTTAACCAGCGCGATGAGATCATCAGAGACATCGACGACAAAGAGAAACGGTGAGTGGATGCTTTCAGTACAACTAGAAAAAGTCAAACAAACATGCAGCGTTCTACACAATTATTGACCACATTTTAGGTAAATAGGTTTACAAAAGGAATTTACTTTTTTGGAGAATGATCCTAAGACCGTTCTGCTTTCTGAATTTCTCTAAAAATGAACTTTGAAAAGTTTTTTTTTTCTTTAAAATACTTATTTATTAAATAATCAATTTACTTTGAGGCCTTTTACACATTTTTACCTAGAGAGCCGTTCCTTTTGTGTAGCTCAGTCATCTCTGTGATTTTATCCCTGATTATTGAGAAATTGTTTGTACTGAACTGATGTTTTTGTGTTTGCAGTGCTCGGGAGGAGGACGAGCGGCTGGAGCGAGGTTTGGAGATGAGGAGGAGGAAATACAGCAATAAGGACAAATGTGTGTTACAGTGAAAAGGACAAGCACAGACTGCAGTTGTCATTGAATCCCAAAGTCCCCAAAAGTATTTTCTTTGAATGTTAAGAAAAAAATGAAACTACAAAGATATCTGTAGGTTTTCAAGTGCCTTTTCCCTCCTAGAAATGTTCCCTAAGTCTGAAGCTGGAAATTGTTGCCTGGATGTAATGTGTGTGTTTTAGTGGTATTATGTTGGTTTCTTTAATCTGTTCTTTATTTATTGAAGACATGTGTCATTTTGTCATACATTTATTGCATTTCTGGTGTTTTTCATGTGTTGTGTACATTTTTTTTGGACATTATTCAGTATTCACACACCAGCTGGTCCTCTGCTTATTTTTTATGTTGTGTGTCTCCTGTGCCTTAATAGGAAGTTTTCGATTTATAGGCCAAAAAGCACCAGAGAATCTATCTGCTCAGGAGTCAAGTATGCAAAGAGATATGTTCTGTTGCAGGTGACGCTTTTGTCTTTTCTGATAGTTTAAAAAAAAATTTAGTATGTCAAAGCAATTCAGAAATTAGTATATTTTGTGATTATTCGAGCTGGACTCAATTCCACAAGGTTTTCAGTGCAGAATGGTTATTGACGCTTAAAGTGGTAACGCATCTTAAAATGTATCTTTTAATGTCGGGCCCTGGTGATTTAAGTCATCTGCAGCTTCTTTGGATGTTCTCATCTTCTTGACTGGTGTAAGTTAAAAAGTTTTGGTATTTCTGCATAGTTTGATGAATGCGTGCATGGTTTTTGATGTGTGCAGTTAAAACGGTACCTATCATTCAGTATGTAGATTCCAAATGTTGATTTCCATATTTATGACTGTTTTATTCATGAATGACAAATAAAATAACGTTTAAAAAATAGCTAGAGATGTGCGAAGTCTTTTTTTTGTGAGGTACACCACAATGCTCCGGACATAAATGTATTTTATGTACGAATCAATGTAACCAAAGCACAGACTGTAGAAATAGATAATAGTAATAAAATCGGCCTACAGAAAGTTCACATTACTGTAATATGTTCAATTTTGTGCAAACCATCTCATTTAGGGAAATAGGAAAACGGTGACCTAAAAACCAGCCAGTCACCATACATACATTGGGTGAGAATAATTACTGGATAGTCCCATGGTACCTGCAGAGACACACTGCTCGGGAAGGGTAATCCATTTAAATTACTTTTGATTGATTAGCTCAAACATCTCACCTTTATGGAGCTTTATGAAACAGCAGCATCTACCTCACAAGATCCAGCTGTGTGCAGCTGCCACACAAATACAGGAAGGCCTGTTCCATTGTAGGCCTGCAACCCAAGGCCTGCAATGGAAGTATTTACTTAAAAAAGATATTAGTGTCTTAGAAAACGTTCTAAACCTTTATTACATGCTGTTTTTATTTTAATTATGTAAAGTACTTTGAAATGCCTTGCGGCTGAAATGTGCTATACAAATAAAATAAGATTGATTGATTGATTGATTGATTGATTGATTGTTCTATTATTCAGGAATGAATTTACTTTAAAATCTGTCAGAATTTGAAAATTGCTCCTTCTATAAGACTTGGGCTTTAACATTGATTTTTCCGATGTTTCCGACAAATCATTGGAGAATTTTCTTGCCTGTGTTCTTTGCCTCAATGTTGGCTGGTAAGGCAAAAATGACTCAAAACATGTCTCAGGGTAATGCATTGAGTTCCACTACCTCAGCCATTGTAACAATGGCTTGACAAACAATGTTTGTCGGAGTTTCGATCTACTTCCTCATGGGAGCCGGCGTCACGTCAATCATGCTTTGCCTACTACAGGAAATACAAAAGTAATACCTGTCAAGTCTCCCGTTTGGGCCGGGAAACTACCATTTCCTACCTCCCTTTCCCGCTTGAAGCTCATTGAAGCTCTTTGTAAATACTGTATTTAGTAAAGCATTGTGCATATTGTGTAGAGTCTGCCTATAGTGCTCGTAGAGTTTAATAAGTTTAGTTACACTTAACTTATTGACGCAACATTGCATTTCCTTCTGAAGAACAGGCTACCGTTACCATTAGCTACCATTGAGGCCTACGCGGGTTATTGAGAGACTTTTGAGTGCTATGAGTGCTTGACTGGTTATTTCACTTTTGGAGCTTTTTACATTTCATGTCCGACTAGGTATCACCAGTAGATTTACTACGAAGTATATTCACGTAGTGGGACACACAGAAGTGTTTTAGATTTGTATGATAGTGCTTTCATGCGAGCTCCCTGGTGGTCTAGTGGTTAGGATTCGGCGCTCTCACCGCCGCGGCCCGGGTTCGATTCCCGGTCAGGGAACAGTTCTTTTTCGTTATAGAAACTATTACTTTATGAAAGATTACATAATGCGGTGAGATTATTATTATTATTTTAATCTATGTCTTTCTATTGCGTTTTAGTTAATCAGCTTCTCTGCACTAGGATCTTCTAATCTAATCTGACATAAAGGATCAAGCTTATCCATTCGAGCATGTTGACCCTGTGCTACTTT